ACCCACCTACCATCTATCGACATTTACCTAACCAGGCCCTCCATCTGCTGCATCTCAAAGGCACCGAAGTCGATCAACTTGATCACTGTTGAGCTGGGCCTGACCTCGGTGCGAGTGTTCCGAGCCAAGTTCATGGAATATGACATGCTCAAAAAAAGATTTAGAAGATCTTCCATTCCCATCTGAGTTTTTTAAAATATTTTTTGATGGTTTATGATTGCTTTAAGTCGTTCAGTTTGAAAACATGAACAAGAATAAACATGAATAATTATCCCATGTATTGCCACGTGTACGGTATGTATGGGCCCCAGTACCTTCACCCCTTCCCGGCCCTACAACAAGGCAGTATGCTTTTGCCGGTTTCTGAGCGAGAAAGCGTTTGTGGAATTTTTCATCAGTGAGAGACATGGCACTCACCACTTTGCCGAGACTGTCCTGACTTGCCAAAATGTTCAAGCGCTCCTCCAGCCGCTGCTGGCGATACGACAAAATGACCGGCCACTTGGCAATAAGATCCACGGCATCTTTGCTCCTGAGAAATGATTGCAGCAGCTTTACCTTACCAGTCAGATTGTTAGGCACGCTGAAACTAAGCAAATTAGGAAAAGTAGCTACTGCCTTCGCAACTTGGCTCTGTGAAAGGCCTAAGTTCAATAGCCACTGCACGGTGGGTTTCAAGTTCTGCTGAAGGCTGAGGCCAAGAATTGGTGGAAATGTGACCACTACCTTTGCAACTTGATCATGTGTCAGCCCCAAGCTCCCAAAGAAAGCCACAGTGGGCTTTAAATTCTGCTCGATGCTGTACCAAAGGATTGGAGCAAAACGGGCAACTGACTTTGCAACTTGATGTTTCGTCAGTCCCAAGTGCACAAACCACTGCACGGTGGGTTTCAAGTTCTGCTCTATGCTGAGCATGAGCATTCCAGGATGAGCACCCACTGCCTTCGCAAGTTGACTCCTTGTCAGCCCCAAGTCCTGAAACCATTGCACAGTGGGCTGCAAGTTCTGCTGGATGCTCAGGCCAAGTATTGAAGGAGACTTGGTCACTACCTTCGCAAGCTGACACTTTGTGAGTCCCAAGTCTACGAACCACTGGGCTGTAGGTTTCAACTTCTCCTCAACCCTGTACCCAAGAATTGGAGGAAAAGTCGCTATAGCCTTTGCACTTTGAGTTTTTGCCAGCCCCAGCTGAAACAGAAACTGAAGGAGTGGCTGCAAACTTTTTTCGATTGAGACTGCGCTCCCCAGCGCCCGCTTTTGCATCCGATGAATGTCTGTAGGTCGGAAACCCTTCGAACTCAAAAAAAGTGAAATCTCTTCTGCCGTGTTGCCTCTTCCCATCACTACCGCTTCACGAAACTCCAGAGCAGCTTGAGAAATGAGAAGGGGCTGCTCCTCGTCCAAATGTGCTTCCAAACTTCTTTGCACATCTGGACGCAAGGCAGCTTGAAGTCTAGGCACGGTCTCCTCTAAAGCAGCTTTCAAGGCCCCTGTGACTGACAGGTAATCCCCTTTACGCCATGACTTGATGCTTATCCAAAGAACATTTCCATCAAATTCAGTTCTGCCTGTGTGGCCGATGCGGACCACAAATGAACCGGCAGGCGCAAATTCCAGCAGGGCCGCATTCTTCTGCAAGTCCTTCTCCATACCTACCTTTGTCGCATGCCGGTAGTAGCCGTCATACTCCACAAACAGCGCTGCATCTTTTTCCTTGAGCAATCCGAAAGCTGTTAAATCCGGCTCCAAGTAGTTTCCGCCCCAACCTGCTGGCGATTTGAAGCTTCGAAACATCTCACCTATTCGCATGTTTGGCATCAGCAATTCCCCCAAAGGGGCCAACAACTCTGCCTCAGCCATGCTGCCGGCACGTTGTCGTGGCCATCCTTGCTGCCACCAAAGTGGTGGTGATCTGGGCGCCAAGCGGCCAAAACACCTCCTCCATTGCCTGCCCCAAATGCACCACTGCATGCATGCAACACTAGAGTCACAGAAGCTACTCTGCCGGGCCACCAAACCTGTCAGCAATGAGTTGTCTGATTTCGCAGAACCATTGAAAACTAGCCTTTAAGTCCCTGGTTCTATTTGCAAGTGGTGTTCGAATGTTCAAACAAAGATGGTGGCTGAAACTTTCCTTCCTTCAGCCCCGATATCTATAGACTCCTTTCGACTCCTTGAGCCATGAGTCAAAGTGCGGAACTGCAGCTCCAGGCTTCACCCACTGAAATGCCTCTTTGAGAATATCTTGAATCGGAAGATCATATTCAGAAGGCCTGTGCATCTCAACTGTAATTTGAAGTAATTTGGGGATGCCTGAAAAATCACCAGATCATCCCCTGAACAGCAGCTCTTCTGTGAGGTCAATTGGCGCCGAGCTAGACAAGTGTATGTTCTGAGTGGCGGTTCAATGCACCCAACAAACCCGACAATTGGAACCGTTCTTCCAGCGGGCGATGGAAAAATCAAAAAGATCCAAAACCACCAGGCAGTCCTTGCTATTTGGATCGATCTACTACAGTATCAACCACCCGACCCGCAACCAGCATCCTTCAGCATCCAATGGGTTCTCCCCATGTCTCCCCCAACTTCTGAACGAAACCCCTGATGGGCCCCGGCATATTCCACGCGGCTCCGGGAGGATGCGGACTTGTGCTGATTCTGCGCCTGCCAAAACTCCTGCAATGCGGTGGAAACGAGTTTGGGGAGACCTGGGGCCATAGGGGAAAAATGGTTGTGATGGGGTGGCGAAGCAATGCCAAGTACAAACAAATGGAGGAGTTGCATGCAGGGCTAGTAAACCAACAAGAAACGTTAGCAATTTTAAAACACCAAGTGCGAAATTATCTTCCAGGTTGGTGTCCTTGGGCCCCCCTCACAGACCTTTGCAAAGATTTTCGTGATAGGTTCAGAGGGATCAGAAATAGGAAAAGCCATCGAAATCACCACCCAGTTGGATATTGCATGGCATGATGCGTGCCAATTTGCCACTGGGACCCACTGGGGTAGTCAGACATTCATGGCTAATTGTGTTGGAAAGCCATCATAACATCCATTTTCTCCAGAAAACCTCCATCAAACACAGGTGAAGCGCCTCTCTTGGGAAATGGCTGGTCTCGAAGTCAGGAGAACAAAACAGCACCTGGCAGTCGGCGCCCAGGTCATTTCCAACATTTCTATTGAAGGATAGGATGATATAGGCACCTGTGATCCTGTATTCTTGCTCTAGCATGCATCATGTATATAATCCAAATGATGGCTTTAAAATGCTTTCAACATCTTCGGGGCCTTGGGGTCGCTTTATTTCCAACTTTCATTTGCATGTTAAAATCGAGGGCGTGAAGTAGGGAAAGATGAAGCTAACGAAACAACCATGCACGAGTAAGCAACCAATCCCAGAAAGGTAGATCTTATACACAAAAAGGTTAATTTCTATTCTTCCAACCTCAAAAGTATCACCTGTCACAGTACCATCATCACTTTATATTACTTTGATTGATCTAGTTCCATTGAGAGTTCCAACATATTCCAACCGCCAGATCCACTCATCTCCATCTCCCCCCATTTTGAACCATGGCCGCCACGGCGCATTTTCGAGCTTCAGATCCGTGTGCGTCAGCCGCATGTCCTCGTGGAGAAATCGCAGTGCCTCCAGGCACTGCCTGGCCACGCTCTGGATGTCCTGATACGACAGCGAACGACAGCGCGGTGTGGTGCGTTGGGTGGCTGGGTCCTTAGATATCACCTGTTTTAATGTGTTTAAGGGTCAGCTGAAAAGGTGGCCAAATAATCACAATCAACCATCCAACAAGAAGAATATCAACATACGAAAAGCAATTCCACAACGTGAATTTCTTTATCACGGCGTGCAAGTAGATTTAAACTTTGATATACCTCAACCAACCCTCAGAACGCGGTGAGGGAGCAAACCGATACAATTAGAATCCACTAAGTACACCCTATTGGGATTGCTACCCTATGGCCCTATGGCACCGGCATTGAAATGGTACCCCAAACAGACCTGAAGACGGGGGGAAGCAACATGACCTGCGAACATCGTGGATTCATGGCCCTTCTGAAGGTGAAAATGGTCACGCAGAAACCTGTAGACCAAAACCACCTCCACCCGAGGGAGGCCGGACCCCAAGAGTCAGCTTTTTCAGAGGTCCTGGATCCACATTCCGCGGTAGCGATTCTGCTTCAACAGGTCGTACAAGGACCTCCCCAGCACCTGCAACTGCCAGGGAATCACTGAGGCACCAGGAAAACATGGAAACCGTCAACCACTTGGGTAGTCGATGGCAATTAGCTGACGAATCCTAATGTCTTCAGAGCCCCTTGGTGGCCACTGGGGTCCATGATCAACCTCCTCAAAGCCGTCAAATCTTGAGTTTTGCTATGTTTTTTTTTGGGTAAACTTCAGGCATCAAACCTATACAGATTCAGGATCAGATGATCAAATGAAATCCTTTGGGGAAAACATGGAAAACTTGGTTTGGGTCAGGTTCAGTGTGCCATCTGCATCCATGGGGGCGCACCCCTTCCAGGCTACTGAGATTTTCCGACTCCCACGGATCCAGCTACCCTCCACGCTGTCAGGATTGATGCTTGGCGTGGCAATAGGATGCAAGCACCCTCATCAGGATGTAATCATTGGACTATTGTGGGGTAACACCTAAGTTACCAACCTGCACCTATACCTCTGATATGTTGGTCTATGCTTCTGTCGCAAAGTATTCGAAAGTCCTAGCAACAGTCAAACAATGAAATAACACACATATAATACTATAATATACTATATATATATTATATATATTTATATATATATATAATTTACGACACACCACAAGTAGCCAAAGATTTTGCCACAGACTGTTCCATGGATCCACCCTCAAATCTTCATCCCCACCTCGCAGACCAGGCAGAAGAAGCGCTCCTCCTCCTCTTCGTGGAAGAAGGTTTCGTGCAGCCGCACCTCAGTTGCTGGGGATGCAGTCCGGCCCCGTGTGGAAACGGTGCTTGGGATTTTGGGAAAGGTCAAAGATGACGAAAACATCATGTCTTGGTGACTTGGTGTTGCTGATTTGTTGTCATTTTGGGATGTTTTGGGGTGGTCTGAATTATCGCCTTCAGCACCTCGGACCTAAGAGTTCACTGCCTTTCCCTCTGATGTTGCGCGGTCATGAACGATTTCCCAGTCTCCGAGAGATGGATCCAGTCCAATGTTGACGCATCACCATGTCTGAAAGACTGAGTCACAAGCTCAACAGTGCCCAAAAATGATCGACTAATCATCCTCGCCCCCCAAAAAAGGCTTGCCCCAGAAGCTCTTCATTTTTGAGTCCCATGGGTACGGGAGTTTGTTGAAGTAATTTTATCCAGTTGTATCTTGCATATGGCACCATGTTTGCAAGTTCTATACCTAACTCTATGTTGGTTGGTTAACCCCTCCGGTTATTACTTAGATCCCAGTTAGGTGGATAATCGACCCATATTTTCACAATTGTAAACTGGAACTATGCCACATTATTCCGCACACAGACACACACACATATACATATATATATATAGATATAATAATAATATATATATATATATATACGTTATATAATTCATTGGGCTAAAAAAACATAAAAAACTGTTCTTACCCACATTTACCTTAATTACCAACTGTGATATATCTCCCGGTAGGGGCATGAGATTCTGACATTTGCGTCCCTGAGGATGCGGGCGCAACCGCATTTGTGGCCATCCTCCAGCCTGATGTCCTGCGCAGGGAAGGTAGATCCGGCGGGCTGGGACATCCCGCATCTGTGTTACATGGTCGCTTCCATATGAAACATGAAACATGCAGTGATTTTGAATAATTGTATAGACTGTTAGCGCTAGACCCACGTATGCATAAACTTTCATTCCAGTCAGCCATACTTCAACCATCCTACCATTGAATCATGTTGAATCCACCCGTTCTCTTGCGCTGCTCGTCGCTCGTCCTTCAGGATCTCAGCTTCACGTTGCGCATTGCGCGTGTACTTCTCCACCTCGATGTGCCGCACCGCTCAGGGCCGCGGGAGGAACCAAGACCATCCTAGACCCTCATCACTGAACTCCCAAGAGATCCAAGAGGTACGTGTTCATATCACAACTACCGAAAAAGATGATTGGATATGTTTGACATGGTAATTCTCCGTTCTATCCTGGCTCTCGTACATTATTGGACAGCGGCATATCCCACCCGCCTACTGGTTGGGGGATGAATGAAGGCTAGCTGCTCCTAGCCTGGATGATGTTGATGGCCACAAGAAATAGAATAATTATATAAGCCTGTTGGCCCTGTTGCAAGTTCAAACATAACTATCTACAAGTCTCGTGGGAATATCAGAGGGCATGTAACCAAAAAAACATGGAAGTATTGATTTGGCAAAATTCAAAGAAAGTTGGGTCTGATGCACGCCCGTCTTCCCATTTCACACGCTCCCGTGACTGTTTGTGCCGCCCCACTCCGTTGCCACAATGCCCCAGGTGCTAGCCATTGCCTCCCCATTCTTGGCTCAGCTGGTCGCTGCTGGTGATACCAAGTCACGTTGCGAATGACTTTGATGGCCACCTGTTGAGAATGGACCACTGCAGGTTGACAGCTTACCAAGACGGACCTGTTTGTGGATCCAACAGGGGCATCTGTGTGTTTGCTTTGATGATGCCATCATTTGTTTTGGGCTACAGGCTCCAGAGGTTTCATTTCAGCACATATAGCCACCTCCATCTATCTAGAAAGTTTGGAAGCCTGGATAATTATTGGACTAAACATGACTAAACATGATCTATAAGTTACTGTAAACACTTTTCCATCTTTCTTTTGGGCCTACAAGTGCTACACTACACTTTTTGAACCTCAAAGGACATGGCCATGCACCAATGTAGCCTGGCTGGCGTCCCAAAAAGGGCTGAAATCTTCAAAAAAAGCCTCCTTGTCACCTCAAATGGAACTAGGAACAATGGGTTTGGAATACTCAGTTAGCTGTATCCCCATTGAGGCCATCAAATAAGGCTTGCAATGGACAAACAACATGTTTGGGGTTCTCCTTGTAATGGTGATGGGACCACCTTGGGTTCTATTATTTTAAATAGTTTAAAATTTAACATATTTTAACATGGATCTTCCCATCCAAAGATCGCACTATTTCTGCGCCAAAAAACGTTTGTGAAATCGTTCGTCCGTCAGAACCATGGCACTAATCACTTTAGCAAGACTATCCTGCCCTGCTAGAATGTGCAAACGGTTCTCCAGCCGCTGCTGGCTGTAGGCAAGAATGAGTGGCCACTGGGCGATCAGCTCTGTAGCACCTCTGGTCGTGAGGAATGATTCGAGGAGCTTCACTTTGCAAGAACGATTGTCAATACTCAGGCCGAGAATTGACGGGAAGTCAGCGACGACTCTTGCAACCTGGCTCTTGGTCAGCCCCAAATCCAAGAACCACTGCACAGTGGGCTTGAAGTTCTGCTCGACGCTGTAGGAAAGAATTCGAGGATATCTGGCCACCGCCTTCGCGACTTGACTCCGTGTCAGCCCCAAGTCCAAAAACCAATGGATAGTTGAATCCAAGTTCTGTTCGATGCTGAGGCCTAAAATTGAAGGACAAGTGGCCACAGCCTTCACAACTTGACTCTGTGTCAGCCCCAAGTCCAAAAACCAATGGATGGTTGGATTCAAGTTCCGTTCGATGCTGTAGCCAAGAATTGGAGGATGTGTGGCCAGTGCCTTTGCAACTTGACCCTTAGTCAGCCCCAAGTCCAAAAACCAATGGACGGTGGGATTCAAGTTCCGTTCGATGCTGTAGCCAAGAATTGGAGGATGTGTGGCCAGTGCCTTTGCAACTTGACCCTCAGTCAGCCCCAAGTCCAAAAACCAATGGACGGTGGGATTCAAGTTCCGTTCGATGCTGTAGCCAAGAATTCGAGGATATCTGGCCACTGCCTTCGCGACTTGACCCTTAGTCAGCCCCAAGTCCAACAGCCATTGCAGCCGTGGCTGTAGAGTTCTCTTGATAGATACACCCCCCCTCACTACTCGCTGCAACCGGTGAACATCGCCATGCGCGAAACCCTCTGCATTCAAATGGCTCACGATCTCGTCTGTCGTGTTTCCTTTTCCTTTGTCTATAGCTGCTTTACAAAAGTCTTGGACTGATTGGGAAGTCACATGTGAAGCCTTCTTGGCTAAATGTGCTTCCAAACATGACTGCACACTCGGACACAAGGCATGTTTAAGTCTAGGTACTGTCTCCTCTAAAGTATTCTTCAAAGCCTTCATGAGCGACAGGCGGTCCCCTCGACGCCAAGGCTTGACACGTACCCACAGAACACTTTCATTCAGTTGACTTCTGCCCTGGTGGCCGATGCGGACCACAAATGAACCTGGAGGCGCAAAGTCCAGCAGGGCCGCATTCTTCAGCAAATCCTTCTTCATGCCTTCCCTTGTCGCATGCCGATAGTACCCATCATACTCCACAAACAGTGCTGCATCTTTTTCCTTGAGCAATCCGAAAGCCGTCAAATCCGGCTCCAAAGAATGTCCACCCCATCCTGCTGGCGATTTGAAGCTCCGAAACATCTCCTCCAATGGCATGCCTGGCATCAGTAACTCCCCCAAAGGTGCTAGTAACTCCGCCTCAGCCACGCTGCCGGCACGTTGCCGGGGCCATCCTCGTTGCCACCAAAGTGGCGGTGATTTGGGCGCCAAGCGGCTGAAACGCCTCCATTGCACACCCCACAGGCACCGCAGCATGGAAGTCAAGCTAGGCCAACACCGTTGTAAAGTCACAGCCCTTGAGCCAGCCCCACACCTGTCCCTTTCTTCTGGTTGCAACAAGAGGTTCTCACAATATGTCAATATGCTTCTTAGTTGCTTAACACAGTTCAACATCTCATCAAGCCTGGTAGTATGACTCATACAGGTATATATATAAAAAGAATCAACCGACTGTTTCATTGGGCACTGCTCACTTGAGCAAACAATATTCAACATCTGCTTCTGGTCCTGTCTCAAGTGAAGGCCAGCATGGTGGCTGCCAAATACTAATAGTTCGTTACAGTCATACACTGGACTTGTAACGAGATTTCTGAACATGATCAATCTTCCGTGTTTGCCGTAGTTTCACATCCAAAATAGTCAATGAGATACGGCCTCAATCTGGCTTGGGTGTCCCCAGCCCAGTGACCCAGTGGATTCAAGTCTCTTTAATCGCGTAGGCATCAGTAGGACCCTTCTCCCTAAATAGGGATGGGATGGAGAATGATGGACAACACAATATACAAACCACATCACCCAAGAACTACATCTCAAACATTCTCAAACGCTCACACTATCTCACACTATCGTCACTATCTCAAACCTCAAAAATCACATCCAATCATGAAAACATCCATAAATTGTCCCCATTTTTCTCTCAAACCACCAGCAGTTGCCGCCTCGCCGCGGTTCCTCTCGCGGTTCGTATCCCGCGCCAGCAGCACCCGACCAAAGGTACCGTCCCCGAGGAAGTCGTCCACCTGGGGAGGCGCCGAGGATGGGAAGGCTATGGCCGTTTCTGATGGGCATTGAAAGGTTAGAAAAAAACAGGGGTTGAACATGAGATGACATGGTCTAACATGATTTAAGATGATGTAACAGGGTTTAAGATGAGTTGACATTTTTTCCCTGTGATTTAACATTATAATAGCCGTTTATACCATGATTTGAAGATGGTTCATAACATGATTTGAGATGATTTAACATTACTAACGTTTATATAAAACGATCTAAACTGACTCAAGATGACTCAACACTATTCAAGATGTCTGTGATGATTTCAGATGATTTCATCATTGTTACCATTGGCTGGTGAGGTCGCCAGCCTTAGAAGGCCCACCTGCAGATTCCAAAGACCTTTTCTAATAGCTGGTGAGGTTAATTTTCACCCCTTAAAACAGCAATAAACAAGTTAGTACTAAACTAGTTCATCCAGTGTCTACTGTGCTCAAATGTAGGGGGTTTAACTTGACTGAAAGCTTCAAATGGGTCGATTTTTGGTTGGACAAATTATCATACCAGCCCATGTTTTGGGGGATAATGACTCCATTTTGATACGGAACCATGGGGGTGACATCGTTTTTGGCCAGGGCACGAGGTAGCGTTCGTTCTTCATCAACAGGCCACGCTTCCAACTGGCCATCAGCTGCATTAAAAAACCGACAGTTGGAACATGTTTCTGAACCCTGCAATGTGGTTCCGGGGGTACTTAAAGACACCCAAACCCCATAAATCCCCATAGAATGTTGGGATGTGTTGGGAATTGATGATTTTGGACTCGCTCGAGAGCACATCCAAACTCCATAAAACCCCAAAGAGCCACAGTGTTGGAGGACATTTTGGAACATTTCAAGGCACAGTTCCAGCTACTGGCGAATTCAGCACATCCACAATCGCCCCAAGGCCTGAAATGCTGGATCTCATCTTTCTCCTGGCAGCGATGTGCACCACTTGATGGCGCAGTGCGCAGGGTAGCTTGGCTGATCTTGCTGTTGGTGGGGAACCCAAGGTGAAACAGCAGTTTGCGTTGGAAACATAATATTGGGAACCTTCAAACCTCGGGTGTCAATCAACATGACCAACTGAAGGACTTGGAACCTTTTTTTTGCTGCAAGCCCTTGGAAACTTGATTGGAGGACTCCCGCACCGAAGAGTTTGTTTTCTGATTGTGGCAGTTGGGGGTGGTTCAAACATATTGATTACCAACATTTCATCCCTAGTGATGATCAAAATTGTGGCCTTCCGCTGGTGCGCAGTTTTTATGACTCACCACCCTCCTATCCCCACCCAATCTCTCAAGTGTATACTCCAACATCATTGTTTTTTTCAAAAAAGTGCATGATTCATGATCCAGTCAGAAAATAGATAGTAACCGTCAATCAAATCCAAGAAACTGTCATTGAACAGCAATAAACACCAATATCCAATAAACTATCAATAAACAACAACAAACATCAATCAATAATCAACACCAATATATCACCAAAAAACTATCAATCATAAACAACAATAAACATCAATAAACACCAATACATTACCAATAAACTATCAATCAACTATCAATAAACATCAATAAACAACATATAAACATCAGTAAACATCAATAAACATCATCATATGAACATGTATGCTAACACCGTGTATCATCCACACCCCTTGCTTCACCATGCCCGACCACCGCACCTTGGGCGGTGGCTTCGGGGGTTCCTCTTCGGAGCTGTAGGATGTGTACTCCTCAGGTAGTCTGCTGGTGTAACTGGTCTGATGGTCATGCAAGAGGATAAAAACATAGATATCATGTCTCCATCCATTATATTATATACCCATAAATAAATAAATATATATATATAAATAAAAATATAGATAATATCCATAAATATACCATGATAGACCTATGATATTCCTAAATATACAGATTTCTATCTAAGGTCATTGACTTGAGACAATGTTCTGGATCTGCTGGGGTAAATGAAAACCGAATTCTTACAATGATGCTGCTGATGGTATGCATGTTAAGACCAAAGAATGGTGCAAACTATTGAACGGCAACCTTGGTTGTCGATTGGAAGCGAAATCTATGCTAAACGTAGTACACGACTCTGTCTGAAACCTTCATGCCTCGGTGAAAGACTCCATACCATTGGCCAATGGGCTCATAGTCCCTAATGTACCTTTCACACCCACGTCTAAATCTGGTTGCTGGTTAATGCCCCTCCCAAATACTACTCATGATACAAAGTCAGTGGGGTCAATGATCATCATTAGTTATACTCATTAACATCCCCTAGGTTCGTTGGTTTAAATGCCCTATGTTGGTTGGTTACAACAGAGCACAGTTGTTTCAACCAAGAGTCGTCCTCATATTCCGAGTCCTCCTCGCTGTCGGTACAGGCACTCACCGAAATAACATAGCGCCGTGGCTGGCCTTTGGAAAGAGGAATGAGGGATTATCAATGGATCCCTGGATTTGATGGGGAAATGATAGTTGATAATATTGGTGAATAAGTGATAACAACGGATACTTAATGGAAGATTAGCATGTTAATGGATTATGAATGAGGGCACGATAGGACAATCATGGACTGTATTCTCCGGTGTCATAAGGCTTGGCTGGCTGGGAATTTCCACCAGGATTCATTGGTCAAGGGTGGAAAGGGGTAACCATCACGTCCCAAGGTTAAGGAGATCATCTAGTGAACAGCTGGCTAGCCCAAAACCTGTTAAGCAAGGGTTATTCTCCATGATTGGTACCCTCTGGTAAGGATTTCCCATTAAAACCACCTATGATTGGTACTTTTTGGTAAAAGTGGCCTGCCGCAAAAATCCACCATTTGGTTCAATGATTTCCCCGCCATTTGTAGGGGATTTCCCATGGCCACGTTTGAGTACCAAAGGGTAAACCAATGAAATGGCAGAACATTGAGTTTATACCTATCGTTCTTCCCATTTTCATCCTCCTTGTATCATGTTTACTCATCATTTTTAGCAGTTGTCGTCATCTGTTTCCATGTATTTAAAAAACAAATATTTGATGATCAAAAAAGAGAACTAATATCAAGGCCAACCAGATTTTTCAATTTTATCTCACATATTCTGATATTCATTATTAAAGTCCATGTGAATAGCTGGGGTTGATATCCACTTCTGGACTTTCCACCCCGCCCCATGGTCCATGGTCCGCTCCCTTCCCGGCCTTTCCGGCTGCGGCTCCGAGCCTCCGGCCGAGCCTCGCGGCCCTCACGGCCCTCACGGCCGCGGTAGCCCAGTTGACCCTTCATCCATGGCCAGGGGGTTGCGCTGCGATGTCTTTCGGGTTCTCTTGGGGTCTGTGTCTTGGTTGGATTTTGGGTTGGAGCTGAGATATGGCAGATATGGAAGGATGAGCCGACTTTTTTCGAAAGAGTCTTACTGGATCTTGAAAAATGGGATGGCTTAAGCAAGATGGCAAACATTTGTGGATGGTGCTTGAACAGTTGGCACAGTTCTTAAGGACCAAAATCAAGGCAAATCGGCGAAACAGTTGTGAGAATCTGGGGCAACCTCCCGTGGTTGGTAGCAAACGTTTTGGAAACCTGCAATGAAATCAGAAAGCTTAGTGAAGGGGCACGAATTTCCCATTTCCAGCTAGACATGTTTCATCTATTGCTCTGTCATGCCTCGAAAGCGGTATTGCTGCGGCACAATAAGCGTGATGTAAGTCTCCAAATGGATATTTATACTAGTACATGAACATAAACAAACATCATTGTACTAAGGCAGACAAGTCATTTACATTAATTTGCCACAATGTTCCCCCGATTTTAGTTAGATTTCACTTGTCCCTCCTTTTGGGGATGACTACAGCCATCAACAGAAAGCCTCCAACAGGAAGGAGCCACCCAGTTATATGTTATGTTTGTTGATTTAATAACCCCTATCTATCCATCTATCTATCTATCTATCTATCCATCTATCTATCTATCTAGTTAGTAGATGCATCATTGTTTCATATATCCAACAGAAATCCAACACTTAGCCTAGTGAAATGAACCGGAAGTCTTGGCAAAGAACGTGACCCCAATCCCCCAACACTCCATCTTGCATGGATAAACATGGGGCGTGACGCCTGATGAGGCCCTATTAAGGACTTGTTGTCTTCCCATCACATTACCCATTACATTATAATGTGAAACCATAAAAACCCAATGAACAATGAACACCAGCATGTTTAGGGGTTCAAATGTTCTTCAAACCATCATTTAACTATCAACCGGTGCAATGTCATACATTTTAACATCTTTCACCAACTTCAGAACTATACATTAATCATGAAACATCATAAAACGATGTTTGGCCAGAAAAAATCCCCGAACTATGCCCAGAACTTCCGCAGCATCAGCTTTTCTCCTCGACGACCGCCTGAACGGTCTTGGAGAACGGTTTTTTTTTCAGAGCACTCATTCCTCAGATGGCTCCTGGGTGTCGCGGCACAGAGGGTGAAGCAGGACTAAGGCCTTAAGGCCACCTCGAGGCCTCAAGGTATCATCTAATTGGATAAAAGGACAGAGGTAAAAATCCTCGTGTGGCAATCTATATATGACCTACATCTACCTACACCATCTAAGAGTAGAATTCTATGACAAAGGTTGGGATGGTTGGGAGGCAGCTCCTCAGCTGGCGCGGGCGCAGGCGCTGCGTTGTCGGCCTTGTCGTCGTCATCGTCTTCCGCCATTTCGGCGGTGACGCCGGTGACGTTGCCTTCGCTATCCTCCAAATCCTCCAAGGGCAATGGGGGGTTCCGTGGGGTACCCCAAAATGGATGGTTTATCAGGGAAAATCCTATTTAAATTATTTTAAATGGATGATTTGAGGGTAGCCCCACTCTTGGGAACCTGCAAATGGGCTCGCAGCAGCTGTTCCGTACGGTGAATGGAAGGTACGTTGGTTTTCCGACTTGTAAATGGAAAATGCAGAAATGAACGAACCTAAATTGGAGAATGTATTCAGCCTCCCTTGTTCAGGGCATTTCTTTTAGGTTAAGGGGTAAGGGGTAGCATGAAGCGGCAAATCACAGTACTCTAGTGACCTAACGAGCGTCTTTACAACATCATGTTTCACAGATTGTCCCAGCAAAACACTTGGAAATCATGACACAGTTCGCGCTTTACCCTTTGGTAGTCAAACATAGCAATGCAAAACCCACCATTTAGTTCAATGATTTTCCCAGCTATAAAACACACAATTTATAGAGGATTTTCAATCGCCACATTTGATTACCACAGGGTAAATTCATCAATATCACATCGCTATCCCATTATTGGCTCACAACTATAGGAATTAAATCATATAAAACCATATCAAACCATCTTGAAGTAAATTTCCATTGATATTCCTGTTATATAACTGGCCATTTAGTTCAGATGTTGTCCAAGTCTTCCACTTCTGCACGAGGGCTCTGGCCTTCTCTTTCTGCAGCTCTTCCACACTGGGCAGCGCTTCCTTCTCCGAGCCAGGCCTTTGGCGTCAAGGTCAAATCCCTACTTTGCGAAGGTTCATTGAGTAGCTTGGCTATGCTTACCCTCCGGTAAAGAAAACATGGCGAACCGGAAAATCGTCATTTTTGATAGGTAAATAATTGGTACACGAATGCAAATCATCCTGAGCTGGGATGATTTTCCATAGCTATGTTAACCAATAACATACCATCAAACCCACCTAACTCCCCATGAATTTCCCCGTTTCTTTGGCCCCAAACTCATCCAACATGAATCCACACCCGAAAAAAAAAAAGTCCCCATCTGCAGAGCGACAGGGCGGTGAGCTTGTCAACACCCCAGGCCAACACATCGGCATAGGAACTCTTCACCAAGTCCTGGGGCTGAAAACCGTTGGCGACGCAGGGGAAGAATTCCAGTGATCTTTGAACGAAGCAGTTGGTAAATTTAACCAACAAAAAATAGACATCAATGGTAATATACATTATTGATGAATTGTTTCTTAGATTAACTGTATACCAACATAAATGGAATATATAGTGGATTATTAATGAATTGTTTCTTTAGATGAACTGTATATATAATGGGAAAACAATGGGAAGCGAATGAGAATTGAAGGATGATGGGATATTCATGGAATACTGATGGGGATATATTGGAACACGTTGGGAGAATGGATGGTAGATGGATGATGTCAGGGTGATCCAGCCAACACACATGGCACATGGTGATTATAAATGAATAATCTACCATCGGGTCGCCAAACATCGCCAGCCGGGAAAACCCCGATCTCCTGCACATCCTCGAAGGAAGTGTTCTCTGCGATCTGCTGGATGGCTACGGCAGCAATGCCTAGCTGGAAAGCCGTGGGCTTTTGATGGTTTTGTCCATATTTGTCCCATCAAAAATGGTGGTTTCCATGGGTTTTGCCGTAATTGTCGATTTTCCCTTCAAGCAATCCATTGACACTCCAAACTTTAGCTGGCAGTTGTGGAGATGATGTTTACCCTCTGGTAATGACTAACAGTTTGCAATTGAACATGGCCCAATCGAAATAGTGAGTTTTCCCATGAAACATGGTGATTTTCCATAGTTTCTTGTAAACGTTTACCAGAGGGTAATTGCCATGAAAAAATGTCCAAAAAGTAACAGATCCACCGATCTCCATCTTCAACTAGACGTCCCAACAAAACCCAAGGGACCCAAGGTCAGGGCAGGGTCCCAAATACCTTGGGCCCTTTCACCGGATTACTTCAAGTGTAGATCAACAGGAAACTATGGATTTTTGAGCATGGGTTTCCTAAGGTCTTCACTTCAGAACCAGTTTTGGACATCTTTATCTCTGGATAAGTTGACTCCTCTTTTCTTGTATATAGATGTTTCATTAGTTTCCCTTCAACTCTGGACGTCTTTCTTTCGTTTGTTAATGGGTGCCCTCCGGTACCCTACCCTGGAATGGAAAAGCCACACATCTAGACATTCTTGAAGAATATGGGCATGAGTCTTAACATATCTTAACATATACAAGGTGGTAACCCATAGTTAGCCAAGTTGGTGTCTATGTAAGTTGCCATCCATTTTTTTGGTGATGGTCATATCCACAGTTAGATGGGCTTATGAACCAACCTATGACTGGGAACCACCTTATAGATGATGTTCCATGTTGACGAGGTAGATCTTCTGCAGTAATAGTAATAATCATGATGATACTTTACATAATTATGTAGTTATATGGTTATACAACTATATATGTTTATACATAACTACATATAGTTATATATGTTTATATATACACATTGGGAATCTCCCCTTGCCAAGTGAGACCAAGCGACCCAAGCTGACAAATCTCACTAAGAGCATCAGCGCGTCGTCCTTTCGTTTCTCCCAGGAGTAGAAGGGCTGGAAGGAGTCCAGCAAGCCGCAGTACCTCAAGCCGGCGAGACACCTAACCATGGTGGTTTCAACGCCCTTAATATGTGGGAACAATTGAGGTAATCATCCTGGCAGTAGCTGCAACAACCTGCAAGGTTGTTGCAAAAAAAAGACAATATTACTATATTGATCTGAATGGATTGGGATGTGTAACATATATACCGTAACGATAAGACCCACTAACAATTGATGGGCCAGGGTCCGGATGAGTCCCAAGCAGTTACAGATGGGTGAAGGCCGAGAACCCCGTTCGCGATTGGAGCAGAAAAAGAGGCATTTCGGGCTGATATGAGGGACATGATTGACTGAACAAACTCGGAGTATCCTGGGGTATCCCGGAAATGCCTGCAATGGTGGTGATTTCACTATCTTTAACTATACTCCTAGCGATTAAGGCATTTTTTGGCCGGTGCCACGACTGAGTGGCCTAAAAGCACTCCTGGTCAAACGACCAAGATATTTGAGTCTTGTAGAACAGCTGGATACTTGGAGCATCATTTTACCTGGTGTATCAGCGGCAAATTGCACTTAGATGGCAATTAATTTATATCCACCACTTCAAAATGGCACAGCAGCACACACTGGGGGAACTTATTATTTATACCAGGCTTCTTGACCCCTGAGATTTGCAAGCGCCCACCAAGTGCCGGACTCATCATTCAGGTTGGGGAAGATCCAGAAATCAAAGCCTTAGAATCACCGGACAGCGAGCGATGTTCTGATCGCACACACCACCTGAACTTCTGTGGGCAACATCTCCTTTTGCAGCCCCAAAAACATAACTTCTGAAGCACCATTTCAAGTGCTGTGGATGGACTGAACCTCTATATGATGGACATGTTGCGACCTCTGCAACCTTGGAGATAGTTTTATAAATCGAACCGTCATGCCCCCAAATGTACGCAGCGTGTAATGTGCACTTGTCATAGCCATCCGTCACTAGATGCCAAGAGTAAACACATTCATATGGGGTAATCGCTCACATCGGTTTCTTGGCATAAAACCGGTTGAGACGCCAGTAAAGCTTAGAGGCAAAATTCCCAAACCAATGCAGATTCCAGACTTGCAAACCCAGCACAACAAACAGCAATGAAACTCCGACTCCCAATTCTTGCAACTTTCACATCCCGTATATATACGTACATCATAACTTGCCCACTATCACCATTTACACCCATTTACTATCATTTGCCTACCAACCATATATCCCCTCCCAACACATCCTCACCATCCCCACCATGTGGTTCCAGGGACCTATGACCCAGAACATGGTGAAGATCACCATTCGAAGGATCAGCACGCTGAAGTACAGCGTCAGAAAAATCACGCTGAGGTACCAGACTCCCACCTGCAACCAGAAATGTGGCCACTTATGTGGTTGGTTCAATGGAAAGCAGGTGGGGGTGGCCCCCAAATGTTTATTGCATGATATTGGATGATTATGTTTGTGTTTTCGCGCGGTGAATTATTAAAATGTGTGATTACGTCGTGTATGCAGCCTTGCATCCCACATCCGCATTTTCTTGCAAAAGTCTCAGAACATCTAACCTCCACCCAATTAACATAGACCCTGAAAATAACCAATTTTCAGTGGAAACTGTGGAAACTAATCTTCCAAGACCCAACTTATGGCAGGATCGAACCGTTAATCTTTATGGAGGGCCAACCTCCCCACACCAGCGCCCCCGCGGCCTTTGCCCACATGGGCCACACGGGGAACATGCAGGCGAGGAGAACCCCACCGATGATCAACGCTAGAAGGAAGTGCTGCAAGCCGGTGCCGCTCTCGTAGGTGATCACGTAGAACCTTTGGGGCCATGGCTGTTGAGCCTTACCCTCTGGTAATTCAACATAGATGTGGAAAATTACCATTTAGTTCGTCGGTTTTCTTGTTTATAAAATGGTGATTTTCCGTAGCTGTGCTAGTTTATCAGAGGGTATGTATTTTTGACTTTTCCGGACAATTTTGCACCATTCACCAACCTGGAACAACGCCCTCTTAGGGATAATCCCCCTGCCAAACATGATTTTCAGTAACGTGACAGTGAAGTCGTAATAGTTTCTTCCCCTAGAACTTTTTGAGACCCAACTATTCCTACAACTTACTACTCCCATACCACTCCCAGAAGAACCCCCAATATTATGAGAAGTTTCTGCAAAACAGAGGTCTCATCATACTCCCCAAAAGTTCTACTACTACAATTTACTAATTACATCTAACTGCTGTAATTTATCATAATTTATCTGGGGCTGCCTAAAAATTATCCCATCACTTTCTGAGTGCGGGCACCCTTCGCAATCGAAGCTCTGATTGGGAGTTCGTCCCAAACCTTGGTGGCAATCCGTCGAACGCCAAGCCCCGTGGATGGAGGGTGGGAGCCCTCTTCTGGGGCATCTGACCCAGCAGAATGCAGGTTTTTATCATCCAAAAACGGAAAAAAAGGTGGAGGTTTTATCATCCAAAAATGATCCAACATGGCGGTTGAGCATGCTTGAACCGTGCAAAATAGCGCTTAATATGACTGTTCTATCATGGGCTTTAGATGGGGGAACTGTGACTTCCCATGGCAACCAATGACCTTAGACCGTTCTTTTAAGACCCATTTGTTTCCGCGGCTTCATCTCTTTCAATGATAAACTTCCCCTATTCTTGGATGGTCAATAGCAATATCTTCATGATCAGCTCCAATTTTCCGTCACTTCCTCCATTTTTTCATGCATAATCAAACTCTGGCATTTGAAGATCATTTGTAGATGATTTATATACTTATGATCTTATGGAAAATAACTTCTTTTTCATGGCCAGATTAGATTCCCAGAGGGTAACTCCCCATTTTTCACCTGCTAAGTACGCCCCAAAAAAAACCCGCCACCTTCGACCTCCGAGTGCCCGTACGGTCCGGCCACTTCTTGGGCTTCTTTTCGGAGCCGTCGTCGGATTTGGAGGTGGGGTTCAAGGGCTTGTACATTGCCTTGCGGCTTGGCAAAACATGTACCCTCTGGTTATTTAAGTTACATAGCCATGGAAAGATCCACCATTTTTAATAGGTAAAATTAGGTAAACCATCTATTTCGATTAGGGCCATGGCTTCCATGGCTATGTTAAATAACCAGATGGTACCTAGATTGGTAACTGGGTGATAATCAATGATCTAGGCAGTTAGAAGCCAGTTACTAACCCCTCAACCAATTTCGGAGGTTGTCGTAAAATGGTGACACCCTCAAATCATCCCAAATTGGACCATTTTAGAGTTGAAACAATCCCCATTGTAAAACAAAACCATAAAAAGCGAAGCTTCACATAGCTCACCCAGGGTTTCCGGCATGTTTGTCCATCATGATCCAGTGACACGGAGTGACTGCAAGAAATGACTTAGTCGGTCAATCCTTTTTGAGTCTTCTCCAACTCTGCCGAGCACCCCCTCGCTGCCTTGTAACAGAAGTTCCGGGAAATCAGCTCCTGTGGCGACGTGGGGTGTAGATCCCAGCCACATCTAGCCAGCTATGATGATCCGCTTGGGATGTCAGGGATGGTCGGGGAACATATGTAAGGCTTATGTTGCCAATGTAAGGCATATTTCGGGGAGTATTCCCACTGAAATAATACTATGTCATAGCCCTCTCCATTTTAAGTACCCGAAAGACGTAGCATATGTTTGGAAACATCACCCAAGTCCACTCCGTGACAAGCATCTACCTGAATGTGAACCCTAGGAATTGCAAGCGATTCATAACCCATGTATATATGTAATTTCTAACTGGGGATATTCCCCGAATCTGACTATGTGATTTCGTATGGGAATTACCCACTTACCAACTGGGTCCCGCCACCCCCAAGTATCATCGTAGGAATCGAAATAGTTAAATAGTTATTGTGAATTTTTAGGGGCTATCCTCTGCTAATTTAACATAGCTATTGAAATATGCAGATTTATAATTGAGTGACCTATTAAAAATCCTGATTTCCACAGCTATATCAGTTTACCAAGTAGGGTATCCATGCTTATCAGTTGGTATACGTGACTTCCCACTGACCAATTGCGAGGATCATCCCACGGTCCTTTCTTTAGTGGTGAATAAACCTGGTGGTTGTCCCCGATTTATGGGTTATAACATGTTATACTGGTTGGTGGTTTCAACCCCTATGACAAATATTAGTCAGTTGGGATGATTATTCCCAATATATGGGAAAATAACAAATGCTCCAAACCACCAATCAGTATAACATGTTATAACACGTTATAACAGGTCATAACTAACTATAACTAACGTTTATAAATGGCTGAACTAACCCCAGTGACTCACCAGTTACAAACTGGGCTGACCCCCCAAGGCCAGCCATCATCCCAGTCACCATCCCCTGGTTCCAAGGTGCATTGCCCAACTTCTCCACATCTTTGTCGCTTTCCGGCACGTTGCCTTCCTTGGGGGTTGCTGATCGAAACACCAAAAAACACAATTGGGGACAGTGGGCTGGAAATACTGTTGAAACATTCTGGCGAGTAAATTATGGTTAAAACCCAGCTATAAGTGAATATAAGTGGCGAATTATTTCAGGATATCCTCCAGCATTTACCCCTAGCAATGGAAAACCCCCCTTCGCTGGATGACCATTGAAGACCCGGATTTCCCAGCTATGTGGGACGACCAGTGGGCCATCACTTCAGAGTTCATCTATGCCATCACCTTACATTGACCTGCATCAAACCTTGTATCATCATGCAGCTTCCATCGAACATCGGGGCGATCAGTGCGTAGATGTTGTGGGAGTTGTCTCTGCCACAGCCCAGAGGATCGCTTCGTGCACTACTGAACCTGACGCTTTAAGTTCTTCACATCTTCAACCTTGCAGGTCCAAGCAGCACCAGGCAAGCCAAGCTGACAAGTCACTGGAGATGTTTCCTCCATGAGTGATGCTTAAAGGTAAGACCGTGGCTATTCTCAGCATCCACATTGCAAACGATCCCATCTGGCCCATCTGGCCTATATCCAGCACATTCCAGCAGGGTCTGACTGGATGTGTGTTGTAAGGACCTGCTTGGGGGATTATCCCATGTAGCAATTGGTTGGAAACTATCTGAAACGCCCTTGGTCCCCTGGGCTGTGCATGATCTTTTATACACGTAGTACCCCACGAGACCGGCCTGTTTCCCAAGAGGAACATGTTTCGGTTGCGTAGGAAGGTTGTTGGTTTCGCCAAGACGACATTTTTTGAAATTTGATGTGAGTTCTGCAACGCCAGCAAGCCAACAGTGTATGAAGTCAAAATGTTCAGGATGTAAATGTTCCCATCTCAACTTGGGTTTCTTAAGAGGGCCCCTTAAAGAAGGCAAGTACAGCCACCGTGGATGCGGACATCTCTTTTGTCTCCAAGCAATTTCTGGGGGAGGAACATGGTTTCATTGAAAAAAAACGTGGCTTAAAAATAAATTACTTTACTTCGAGTTATCCCCACCATGACATCTATACGTTTTGTTACTGGCAAATCTTCTGGCATTCTATCTGACATATCTTCTGGCATTTTATCTGGCATATCTTCTGACATATCATCTGGCATATCTTCTGACATTCTATCTGGCATTCTATCTGGCAAATCTTCTGGCATATGTTCTGGCAAACATTCTGGCACTTTATCTGGCATACCTTCTGGCGTTCTATCTAGCAAACATTCTGGCACTTTATCTGGCATACCTTCTGGCATTCTATCTGGCATATCTTCTGACATTCTATCCGGCATATCTTCTGGCATATCATCATATCTTCTGACATTCTATCTGGCATTCTATCTGGCAAATCTTCTGGTTCTATCTGGCAAACATTCTGGCACTTTATCTGGCATACCTTCTGGCATTCTATCTGACATTCTATCTGGCATACATTCTGGCATTCTATCTGGCATATCTTCTGGCATTCTATCTGGCAAACATTCTGGCACTTTATCTGGCATATCTTCTGGCATTCTTTCTGACATTCTATCTGGCGTTCTATCTGGCATATCTTCTGGCATTCTATTTGGCCGTGGAGGTCCAGCGGTGATCACTGAGCTCGGAGGGTCCCAGGTTGAGGTCCAGCGGTGCTCACTGAGCTCGGGGGGTCCCAGGTTGAGGTCCAGCGGTGCTTACTGAGGTCGGACGGTCCCAGGTTGAGGTCCAGCGGTGCTCACTGAGCTCGGAAGGTCCCAGGTTGAGGTCCAGCGGTGCCCAGTGCACTCAGACCCTTGCAGTTGAAGTCCAGCAGTGCCCACTGCGTGCGGAAGTTGGCGAAGAGCTTGGCAAAGAGTTGGCAAGGCGGAAGTGAACATGGGAGTGGATGCAAAGGTGGTGGAGGAGAAGCTGGAGGAGAGGGGGGAGGAGGAGAAGGAGGTGGAGGATGAGGAGGAGGCGGAGGAGGAGAACAACTGTGATAAAATCTAACAACCCTCACCTGGCAGGTGGGGAACAAACTTAATCTGGTTGGTGGTTGGCCTGCCCCTCTGAAAAATATGAAAGTCAGTTAAGATTATTATTCCCAATATATAGAAAAACATGTTCCAAACCACCAACCGGTAATCATTGCTATGGTTTTCAGCTGAGCAATATTCACCAAGATTGATCCAGACAACCGCGGCCCCTGAAATTTCACCCAGCCAAAACTTATCCATATTGCATGGACAATCTTAGATACCCTACAAAACAATTACTTTACTTCGAGTGATCCCCACCATGACATTTATACGTTTTGTTACTGGCAAATCTTTTGGCATTCTATCTGACGTATCTTCTGGCATTCGATCAGGCATTCTATCTGGCACTCTATCTGACATATCTTCTGGCAAATCTTCTGACATTCTATCTGGCATTCTATCTGGCAAATCTTCTGGCGTTCTATCTGGCAAACATTCTGGCACTTTATCTGGCATACCTCCTGGCATTCTATCTGACATTCTATCTGGCATACCTTCTGGCATTCTATCTGGCATATCTTCTGGCATTCTATCTGGCATATCTTCTGGCATTTTATCTGGCATATCTTCTGGCATTGTATCTGACATTCTATCTGGCACTCTCTCTGACATATCTTCTGGCATATCTTCTGACATTCTATCTGGCATTCTATCTGGCAAATCTTCTGGAGTTCTATCTGGCAAAATCTGGCAAACATTCTGGCACTATATCTGGCATACCTTCTGGCATTCTATCTAACATTCTATCTGGCGTTCTATCTGGCATATCTTCTGGCATTCTATCTGGCCGTTGAGGTCCAGGGGTGCCCACTGAGATCAGAAGGTCCCAGGTTGAGGTCCAGCGGTGCCCACTGAGCTCTGAAGGTCCCCGGTTGAGGTCCAGCGGTGCCCACTGGGCTCGGAAGGTCCCTGGTTGAGGTCCAGGGGTGCCCACTGCGCTCGGAACCTTGCGGTTGAGGTCCAGCCGTGCCCACTCAGATCGGCAGCCGGAAGTTGAGGTCCAGCAGTGCCCACTGCGCATGGAAGTTGGCGAAGAGCTCTGAAGGTCCCAGGTTGAGGTCCAGCGGTGCCCACTGCGATCAGAACCTGGCGGTTGAGGTCCAGCCGTGCCCACTCAGATCGGAAGCCGGCAGTTGAGGTCCAGCCGCGCCCAGTGCCACAGAAGTTGGCGAAGAGATTGGCGAAGCGTTGGCAAGGCGGAAGTGGACGTGGAAGTTGATGCAAACATGGTCGAGGAGAAACTGGAGGAGGAAGAGGAGGAGGCGGAGGAGGAGAAGGAGGAGGAGGCGGAAGAACAGCTCTGATAAAATCTAACAACCCTCACCTGGCAGGTGGGGAATAACTGTTTTGGGGAGGCGAATATATCCCCATCAAAGCAGCACACAAGTTAGTACAATCAGCTACTTGACCCGGAGAAAATAGACTCATATGTTCTGCACAAGATCACATATATGCATACATATAAACATAATATCATATAACATATCCGTAGTAGCCAACTAATCAGCTTAAATGCTTTATCAACACCCTAGTTTTCTAACGGTTTGCGATGGAAAACCACCTTAAAAAAGGTAACTCATCATCTATAGCTATGTTAAAGAACCGGGTCAGCATGAATGATTAAAATTGTAGACATCTATAGGCCCATCTTACCCCATGTTCATTAAGTTGGGAATTTAACATTGTTAATAACCATTGTTAATAAGCAATCATTGTTGGTAATTAACCATTAACAAAATTAAAATTGTGGAAAACATGATAAAACAATAATAAACCATCCCGAAATCACCATTTTTACAGGTGCTATATATAAACCATTCCCAGTCATGGGTGGTTTATGACAATGATTTACCATGATTTACCTACTGAAAGTGATGATTTTCCCTAGTTATGTTAGTTTACCAGAGGTTAATGTGGTGAATAATCATTAAGTGAACATCAACACATCCAGTCGCCGAGGGTCTAAGGTCTCCTCCAAAGCTTTGGAGCATTTCCTGGACGTGACAGTCGAGTCCAGGTGGTTCCCAAGTGACAATGGATTGCTTTAAGGGAACATTTACAGGAAAACCGATATTTAATGGGATAATCTATGGTTTCCTGTAGGTTTTCCCAATCCATTGAATATGACACTATGATTACCACACGACATTTACATGATGTATATGGTGAAGTATGGTTTCTGGTAGATATGTCATGATATGTCTATTGTTGATGGGTAGTTCAATACCCTCCGGTGTCATCAAACGTGGCGTGCTGGAAGATCTCCTAGACATGGAGTTCCATGGGGTTCCTATTGCCATCTTTGATTGCCGAAGGGTAATGACAACCATAGATATGATGCTCCCGTATTATGGTGAATTATCGTGATATTTATGATTATTAATGTATATTCCTATGCTGTACTCGTGAAATATGCATCTCATCCTATTGCCTCTCAACTTTCGGCCTTTTGAGTCACCATAATTCGCCGCAATTTTGATGGTTCACAGGGCCATATATATATAATATACATATATATATAATATACACATATATATATAATATACACACATATATATATAATATACATATATATATATATAATATACATATATATATAATATAATAATATACATATATGTATATATGTATAGATAGATGCTTAGATATATGTATGTTTGACAAGTTGCTACGATTTCCTTATCACTGTGGGTGAAATGGGCAAAAGTTGTCGGGTAAGTAACCCCTTCTGGCAGCCTTGTTGTCTGGCTGGTTACCACAACTGCTGGCTGGTCGTATACCCAGATTTCAATTATTGGGTCCTCAGAATTGTGATGCTGCCAATGATGAATGGTACCCCTCCCACATTTGCAAAGCAGTGGCTTTTTGAATCAACCAAACACAATTCTTCACTGGTGAAATCCTGTAATTTTCCTCATTAAATCACGGTAAATCCCCATTTGGGCTGCTTCAACCTCCGTTCTTGAGGAAAATATCGCCCAACAATTTTTTGGGGAACACGTCAACCAACAAGCGGTCCAATCTTTGCAGCCAGCGTCTTTGTTAAGATGGTGTCGTTCTCCAGGAGGAACTTTTTGAAGTCCTGGAGAGGCACTGGTGATGGGAATGGAGCTGGAGAAACACTGAATCATAGAACAACATAGATCAATATAGAACATATGGCGGTTTCCATCAATGGGGTACCCCAATAGCTGGATGGTTTATAATGGACAATCCTACTAAAATGGATGATTTGGGGGTACCATGGGGTACCCCTATTTTATGAAACCTCCGGGTCAGCCTCAGGTGTCCCTCCCTCAACAACGGACTTTATTTTCAGCAAACTAGCAGCAGAAACTCGCTGATGTCAGGAACAGCTACAAATTTGTGGAGGTTGATATGCCAATGGTGGATGTTGCATTGCTGTACCTTTCCAACTTCGCATTGGTTGGCGGCTTCATACATCCGCATGCCCCATGTCCTTTTGGCTACATGCTCTTGTTTTTTCTTGGCAAACACATGGATCACGTGGGAAACATCCCAAAATCAGCATATCAACCTTCCATTTGATTGGTGTTTTGATGTGTTTTCCAACTTAGATCCCTATGTGTCTTACTTTAGAGGGCTTGGTGGACATCTTGTCTTTTTCGCCCAAACCCAGCAGTCCTTGCCACGGAAATAATCCACCTTCTTCTTGCCAACCTCGGCTAGGAAGTGAGACCAACATCATCTTGGTTTCCACAGTTAGTGAGATAGGTGTGAACTGTAGGTATGCATCTACAAATCTCATCAAACAGACAGATCTACAAACATTGCACATATTAGATCATATTAGTGTATCTTATACATATGGATATTGGTCAAAATTGGTTGCCCCAATCATTGGATGGTCCCATCCTTAAAGATTGGCCAGTCAATCCGTGGTCCCCCCCGTCTCGCTACGAAGATTACGAAGCAAGTCTTCGCGTTTCCAAACTGGAAACGGACTCGAGTCGTTGTATGCTTTCATGATGTTGAGTCATTGGTCGAAAATAGATGATTTCTCTAATGTCATGCGCTGTATCGTTGTATCTATTTAATCTATTTGCTCGTTTTGAATGCCGTTCTTGTTCGTTAAATAGTTAGTTTGTCAAATTCTTGAATGGTCAAATACTTGGTTAGATAGATACATGTTCGATATCATCTTTGTTAATTAATTACTTAAATAAATAAATTCTATTTATTCCAATCTTTAGATGGCTTGACCTCCCCTGGCGTTCGCTCTTCTTCGAGGGACTTCGCTGGCACTCTTGGTCTTGAGGCCTTTCCTTAGCAGCACTGGCGCATGGGAGAGAAGGAGTTAGAATATGCAAGTCATGGCTAGGCCCCTGATTTGAATATGATAGAACCAAATAGGGGTCAGTTTTTTCCCAGATCTTTGGGACCCCATTTTAAGTTTCCATGTGAAATTGTTGCTTTGGGACCCCATTTTAAGTTTCCATGTGAAATTGTTGCTTTTTTGGGAGGTAAGCGGGGATTCACGACCTTTGCGACATATGTTCCTTCATGGCAAGTTCGATGCAGCGAAACAAGCATTCACCAAGGTTCAACCCTTCAAAATCTGGCCTGGTGATAAGGTTTTTAAAAAATCATCTTTGAAGCACGTTGTTCTACTACCCTCTGGTGAACTAACATAGCAATGGAAAATGGCTATTTATAGTGGATTTTCCCATTAAAAATGGTGATTTTCCATAGCTACGTTAAACAGGGATTGGTAAATGTCCCATTTTGGGTATATTGGACATCACCTAAAAAAGTAGCCATCTAGTAGACCATATACCTAATGGTTGGGTGATGTTCAATGGGGACATTTAATGACCCATGTTGAAGCACGTTGTTCTACTAAGACTATCAAACAAGCCCTTTCTTTTTAAGCATGTTCATGTAATATTGGGCCGCACGTGCATATGGCAGCCAAAAAGCCGAGGCCCTACAGTGATCCATTTGGGGGTCAGTATGGGTCACCGCCCGCAGGCTGCCCGCTTTTGAAAAAGTATGGTCATGAAATCATCCTCCATCAAAACACCATTGGTTTTCATGATATTATTTTTCAAAAATGGTTTTAATGATATAATTCTTTGAAAGATGGATTTCATGATATCATTTTTAAATGGATTTCATGATATAACATTATCATGATGGTGTTATAAAATAAAATCATTATAAAACCAATATCAACCAGCCTCCATCAAGATGGCTTCAAACATACACCGTTCACCAACCCTTCACCCACCCAGCAAAACCTCCATACCAAGCCAAGTGTCTTCCCTAAAATCACCTTCATGAGGGGTTCAAAGGTGGGATCCCACTCGGGTTCATTCTCATTCTTGGCTTTTCCTTAGCTCTCCAGGGGAATGGTCAGATTTCATCACTGCAGTTAGCCATGGCATCATGGGGCACTTTTTTGAATGACTTTCCAATCCTTTCCAATCCCTTGCGTAACGGCTCGTGCAAGTCCCAGGATTGAGTTATACCCCTGTGTTGATTGGATAGTATGAGCGACCAACAACAACAGCGACTCAGTTTCTGGTTACCTGGTTGACACGTTTCGATCCAGCAACTGGGTTGCTACAGCCAGCCGCAATTTGATGGTGCTTCTTTTGGCTGAATGTATCCATATGTTACGGGTGCTCTATCGATAGAAAAACTGTAAATGCTTTGTTTTGGAGGTGGTCGGAATACCTATTTCTGCCGCTTGTTTACCCAGGAATGGCAGCCCTGAAGTTTTGCTGAATACCTGTCCCCACTTCTTCATGTATGGTTGGTTATGGCCAATTCTCTTTATCTTAGCCAGTGATATCCCAACATCTGATGGTTAGATAGTTATAATGTGGTATGATTATGCGCATTTTGGGTTGATAAAAAAACATCGACGATCCTCTCTCTCGGTGAAATCCGCACAGAATCTGGCTGAATGATGTTGATTCTGCCAGATCGAAACGGGTCAATTATGAATTGTGTGGGATGATTCCGCAAAGAGGGTTTTGCACAATATCCCACTATCTGAAGCCGTTGTTTGGTCCCAAGATTTCAGCCGAAACCGACCTCGGTGATTTCAAGCTTTGTTTCAACCTCTTCAACCCCCTGAAGGATTTTTTAGCTCATCCCCAGCTAGGATTGAACATGACGTTTCCGCCCAGCGGGGGGGGGGGGTTGGTGATATGGCCCACAAGACTGCTCACTGGGTGGCTTCAAACTCCAATGCATGGAAAGTCCCACGGGAAAATTAGATTTTTGTCTGAAAAAAATTGGGGTGGACATGGGTGTGCCCCAAGTCATGGCACTTTTCATCTGGGATACTGATGATAATCCATGACAATCCAGGTGATTTTTGGAGGGTTCCCCCCACAAAAAATCATCGCCCAGGTTTCGGCCGAACATGGCAGCAGTCCGGGGTGTCAAAATTTGCCACGCACCACGTCTTTGAGCCCGATTCACCACGGGAGAGAGGCTGGGTCTTCCTACCTGAGAGATCCTGAGAGGAGTTACCTGAGAAACAGGGGTCTGCCACCATTTGCGTGCGGATTTGCACATCTTTCCAAAGCCAAAGAGATGCATAATTCCATGCTAAACTTCCTTGGTGTGGTTATATAAACATGGCAATTCTATGGGCCTATACCCGCCAAGTAAACCTTACTCTTGGTCACAACGTTATTGTCCAATCCACGGTGGAATCTTGGCAGAATTTCTAGCCCAAGTTCGACCCATCTCCACTTCCAGGGGTTCTCTTTCTGCCACATCGCCACGTGCGCATCGAATTTCCAGGCGCCCACCGTAGATGATGCCAGATTTGCTTTGAGAAATGATGGGCACCCAGACATGCAACCAGGCTCCTTCTGAATTAGATGCTGCACAACTGGCTGGCCGTCCTTGAAATACAATCCAGCCAAAGTCACCTGGTTGAATTCACTGCAGAAAAGAATCTGTGACGTGGTCAAAAGATGTCAAGGCCATCGTATGCGAAATGTGTAATTCAAGACTCTCCTATCACATGGTGACCAAACCCATCTACCCCCGTTGTTGGGGTATATGCCTGTACCCTGTGGCCAAGTGATATGATACCAATATCTGATAAATCATGATAACACCCTATGTTTGTTCGGAGAAAATCGGTCCATCCTTTAGCCATAAAACATAGCGAGTCGCGTAGTCGCCATATCACTTTCTTCGGGCGGTTTTTTCCGCACCAGCCTGCCTGGCGCGACCATCATCTTTCTTGACATGGGGAACCCCTTGTCACCACTGCTTTCCCTTTAAGAATGACTTATGGGAAGAACTATAAGAACCACATGCAGGAAAGTAAAACTACTCCATATATATATATAAATCATGATATAAATATATAGAGGAAAACATGATTTTGGAGTTCCCCCTGTTGTAAGGATCCCCATATGTGGCTATAAGAAAAAAATGAAGCGTTCAAAACTCGACAGTTGGTACTAAGATGTGCAAAGCATGACTTTTTTTTTAAAAAAATCTGACCAGAATTCAATAGGAAAACAAACTGCAAATGGAGGGGTCGCTATCCACTATCCAAGGAATCGCGGCTTGCCCGGCTGTCACATCGTCCTTGAAGGCAACACTTCGCTTCAAATGGCCACGGAAAAACTGATGCATTAATCATCATTAACCCTTTGTAAGGCAAAAACACAACTTAAACCATCTATATGTAACATTATATAATGAACAATCATTTAACCATCATCAAGCCATTAACACCATTGCAAAAACACAAATTAAACGAAGCCACAACCTTTGTAGGGAGTGTAGTCCTTGCTTGTCTTGGCGATTCTGCACGATCGGACGATCGGCGGAATTTCGAAGCGGACTTGTGCACGACAGGTAAGTCCTCTAGTATTGCTCATCCCGTTTATTCCAGCGGCTCATTTATTAGTGGACTTCTGAAGAATTCTTCATTTTTGCTGGTCAAAATTGATGAAATGCACAAATTTTGCTGGTTCAATACCATGTGAACCAACTAATAGCAACTGCTTCCATCAACCTGGGTGAGTTAAGTATAGTTGCCCTCTGGTAATTTAACATAGCTATTGAGCATGGCCATTTAGTTCGTTGATTTAACCATTATTTTTATGGTGATGTTCCAGTTCGCAAACTGTTAGTTTACCAGAAGGTGATATATTCATTAGTACCCATCAACATTCCATTATTTCCTATTAACATCCCATTATTATACCATTCATATCCCATTAATCCATAGAATCACTTGATGTTTTCACTTTCCATAAGAAGATCCCCATAGTTAGCTAAATTGTCTAACTTGATTAATTAGGCTTTATAGGGGATATAATTACTATAGTTGCGTTGGCTTATAAACCAGCTTACAATAGCTATAACTAGGGCCCCTTCCTGCGTCTTCGATGAAGTCAGCGGTCGCCATTCCCTCCGTTGGATCCCACCTTCCAGCGCCACTGGCAGCGTTCGCGCGAGCGGGCCGCACGCAGCGCTTGGGTTTGCCACCGGTGTTGCACTGGCTGACCTGGCATCCCAGGATTTACCAAAATCCGGTGGAAAATGGGGAGCTACACAGATCTTCCAAATGTGCTGGTTCGATTTTCTTGGATACTTTGATGTGAAAAGCAGGTAGGATAGATGGATTGACATGGATAAAACATGGATAAGTATGGAAAAACATGGGTAGAAATGGATAGAAATGACGAGCAATTCCACAGCCACGTGAGGGCCTGTCGAGAACGAAAGAGTAGCCAAGGTTGTCATCCGTGATCCCTACATCCATGGTTTCTCGGGTACGCGTGTGTGTTATATGTATGTGTGTGTTAAAAAACAGAAAAAAAAACACATTACAGTAGATTAGTTTCATATGAACGAATAAACCGGGCAGGGATTATTTCATTATTTCCTGGCAGAAAAATGGAGCTCCTCAAATTCTTTACCCACGATTTACGTCCAAGTGCCCCGACACCTTTTGTTGGCCGGAAGGCGGCCGTTGTGATGGTGTTATTTTAACACGACAGCTGCTTAGTGGGTTCAACACAGGACCCTGCCGAACGAATTCTTTACACTCAAAACTGACGATTTTCAGGGTCAAACACAATTCTTTTGATGTATCAAAATACCGGTGGTTTTCATTGCTTTCCTCAGCAAAAAATTGAAAGCACCACCCCCTCGAGGCTGACCTGCGATGCGAAGCGCAGTGAGCACAGGCTCTCATGGGCGTGCTCGGCCTCATGCACAAGAAAGGGCGGATCAAGTTGCTGCAAGTGACTACAAGGTAGCTAAGTTGGTGAACATCACTCCAATAACTACAGTATGGCTTATGATACTTAGAACTATAGTTGATGGGGTTTGAAAACCAAGTTATTCCAACATATTAGAACTATGAATTTTGTATACGTGCTATGGATGGTTGCAAAATCCTGCTCAAGTTGGTAGATGGATGATGGAAGAAATCCTATTTTATAACCTAACTATTTACAGTGTTGAATACCAATCGTTACCAACTGGTGCAGGATTTTGTCCATCCACACCACGTAAATCACCTTAAAAAGTGTTTCTTTTGTGGGAGCAAATTCTGATGAATCATTGGCTGAGGTTTACCCCGAGATTCACAACCCAATATATAATACCCGCTCTATTTACCAACAGCCAAAACTACACATGGTTGGCAAGCAACAGGATGAGAGTTTTGAGTTTACAAAACATGATCCCAGTTGGTAACCGAATCTCTTTCAGGCTAGATGAAACCGTTTATTGTCTACCCCTGTGGACTGTCCAATTTTTTACCTATTAAAAACTTGCTGGACAACATTTTTTTGCTTTACCATCTGGTAAGCTAACATAGCGATGGACAATCACCCATCTTAATAGGTAAATCAACCATACATGATTATACATGGTATATTTATCATAGCCGTGTTTCTTTACTGGAGGATAAATCACCCCATCCCATTCAACCCTCCCAGAGGAAATCCCATAGAAAGCTCATTAAATCCTATTCGATTCCACTACACATCATGAAGTCACCATCTGCCCCTGCCCCAACATCAACCTACCATGGTTTTTTCCCGGAAGCTATGGACCTCAGGGCCAACGTTCACCACCATCAGAGTTTTGCCCTGTCCATTGAGGCATGGCCTAGGCTTGTTCGGAAAAGATGGGGAAATTAGGGGGCGGATCACCATTGAACATTGAGGAGGGATTAACGCCCACCCTAATATGGACATAACCATAGATATTAACCATGGATTTTCATGGATATTTCATATTGGGGCTTTAACACTGTTCATGGATTTTCCATCGATTTTTGATGGATTTTTATGATTGGTTGATGTTTAGGGGTGACATCCATGTAACAGCTTTGATGTTGGGTACCAAGGTGTTGACCTTGGAAAGCTCATTGGGAATTACCATCCGGCAATGAAACATGGCATTGAAAAAACTCCCCATTTGCGGATGACGTTCCTATGAAAACATCTCCAGTTGCAGGTGATTTTCCCTATGTTTGATGGCCGGAGGGTAACAACCATTTCACAAGCATGTATCTTGAACAACACCAAGCACTTGGTGACTTGGTGGTTTCAACATGTTTCAACCCCTCTGCAAAGTATGAAAGTCCGTTGGGATTATTATTCCCAATATATGGAAAACCACCAGCCAGAACACCGACCTGGGGATCATCAGGTGCCGGACAATCAATGAGAATTGGATACAACATGATACAACCCAGGCCATTAAATGGATACAAAAGGTGCTTCAAAATGCTGTTTGATTTTCCAGCTAATCCTTGTTCGATTTTCCATCTGCAGCCCGGTAATGCCCGGTAGTGGCTCCATCTCAAGTTTTGCTCCGTGGAGCCCAAAGGGTTCCAAATTTCGGAACATCGGCGACAGCGGAAACTGAGAAGCCGTGCTCCATCAAATGGGTCCTGATTGCTCCCGAAGACCAAAGTTTGGGATGATGGGATTCTGCCAGATTCTGACTGGTTGGTGGCTTTAACCATCTTGAAAAATATGAAAGTCAATGGGAAGGATGACATCCCACATATTATGGAAAATAAAATTCATGTTCCAAACCACCAGATGAAAAGGGCAAGGTGAATTCCTGGTTTCAAACCTTTTGATATTTGCTCATCCCTTGAAATTCTGATTCTCCTATTCCTCAGTGGAACCCCAAATGAATGACGTGGGAAGACGATTTTCCTAGTGGAACATTACCATGTTTGAGCCTCATGTGAAAATTTCAGGCTTCTGGTTGGAACACAATCGTATGTCACCTGCTAGCCCGTTACTGAAGAATTTTGACAGCCAAATCTCATCATTTTCCCTCAGTAACGCGTGCCAGTTCCACATTTTTAGCATTTCTTTTCTTCCCCCCGAGGCCACAATCACCGCGCTTGATGCAGCCAACCAACCAATGGTTCATACTGCCAACCCCGGATTAACAATAATTACAATAAACCCTGCTTGATTAAGGGGGTACCCCCTAAAAAGTGATAACATGCTGCTAAAATAGTGTCACCCTCAATTCAACAGCCCCATTCTTGCATTTCAAAAAGATCCAGGGTTGATATTACCATCATATTACATCATATTGCCATATGAAACCATCATATGTCCTTGTTTAAACATCTTTCAATCATAATTTTCCATGTTTTTTGGGTTTTCACCAGAAAATCACCTGCAAAGGGGGCCCCCCAAGGCTGCCCTGAGCCCCGGACAACTTGCTGTTTCGAAAGGGAATGTGCGAGCGCCCCTCCGCCTTGGCCATGAAGACGTCCGCCAAGCTGGACCTCTGACTCCAGGCGAGCCAGGCTTTCCCATGTGTGGATGTTCCTATGAAACCATGGACTTTCCCATTCCAAACGCTGTGAATTTATGACTTTATGTGGGTTAAAACGGCTAAGCAATGCCATAAACCATCCCCACTTTCACAATTTGGTGGTATGGTTGTCCATTGGAAGTTGCGTTCTTTCCCATCTTTCCTATAGAAGCGATGATTTTCTCCTTTAAACAATCGGATTTGCCCAGTGAAACGGCTAAACACCTGGCAAAACCTAGCTACCCTACAAAACAGTAAAACTCTATCCCCATTTGCAACAACATATGCAGCCAGCTCTATGAGTACCCATGCAACCTTAACCCGTTCCAAGGGTTTCCATGAACATACCACCGATATCCATCATATCACCAATCCGAATCTAATCTATTTTTTCCTCCGAACATGTTTCAAAGGGGATGGCTTTCCATCATAATTGCCCGCCTTGCACTTCAGGACATCGACCAGGACATTGGACATTGACGTCCTCCACGTCCTCTACGTCCTTGACGTCCTTGACGTCCCGTCCTCTATGTCCTTGACGCCTTGACGTCCTTGACGTCCCGTCCTCTATGTCCTTGACGTCCGCTACGTCCTGAACGTCCTCTACGTCCTTGACGTCTCCTCCTCCACTCTCCGTCTTCCACGTCCCGCCGTCTACGTCCTCCACGTCCTCTACGTCCTCTACGTCCTTGACGTCCCGTCCTCTATGTCCTTGACGTCCGCTACGTCCTTGACGTCCTCTACGTCCTTGACGTCTCCTCCTCCATGCTCCGTCTTCGACATCCCGTCCTCTACGTCCTCCACGTCCTCTACGTCCTTCCCGTCCCGTCCTCTATGTCCTTGCCGTCCGCTACGTCCTTGACGTCCTCTACGTCCTTGACGTCTCCTCCTCCCATGCTCCGTCTTCGACATCCCGTCCTCTACGTCCTCCACGTCCTCTATGTCCTCTACGTCCTCCACGTCCTCTACGTCCTTCCCGTCCCGTCCTCTATGTCCTTGACGTCCGCTACGTCCTTGACGTCCTCTACGTCCTTGACTTCGCGTCCTCCACGTCCTCTACGTCCTCTAGGCCCACCACGTCCTCTACGGAATCTTTGTCCTCTGCGTCCTTCACGTCCCGTCCGTCCTGTGTGTACTCTAAGTCCTTGCTGTCTGCTCCTCTACGTTATGTCTGTCCCGTCCTGTCTCTTCTACGTCCTGTGGGTGCTTCGCGTCCTTGACGTCCCGTCCTCTACGTCCTCCATGTCCCCTGCGTTCTCTGTATATGTCATCCAGCTCCTCCACATCTTTGCGGCTACATCCTTTACTTCACATGACTCTGGCCATCCGTTCCGCCGCTCTGCTTTGCTTATCAAAGGGACAGCAGCGCCAATGCAGGGGTGCTGCTCGGCAATGCCCGTGCCGCAACACAAATGCAGGAGACTTATGGTAAGTAGTGGTCCTGCCATGGCATACATGACATCCTCTTCCTCCTTTACCATGATGTTCCCAGGACATTTATTCCCATTGACCTCAAGCCATACCACAATATCGTTACATGGGCCCCTGCCAACCTGTCACAATATCTACAAAATTTCACATTTCCATTGAATCTACTCTTCAGATCGTTTTCCAGCAGAGAAACGTCTCGACCATTTTCTCGGCACAGCCTTTTAGATCTTGCCGAACCATGTCGGACAACATGGTCGTTGAGCAGGCGTGGGCCTTGGTGGAAAACCACTTTGACCTCCAAGAACTTTTCGGAGAGGTCGGAAGCCTCTTCTTGGAAGAGCAAGCTGCCAAGAAGTGTTTGCACACGATGGCGATTTCTATGTCTGTTTTAGCTGGCCTAGCCCCATTAGCCAATGGAGCGCAGGTGAGAATATGGTCAGAACCAACGCCATTGGTCCTAGCCACACTTCTCATCAACCCTCCGCAGAGCCGAAAAAGTCAAACCACCAGCTTGCTCCGGGAACTTGGCACGGTGATCGACCAGACTTGTCATGAGCGGGAGCGGGCACGCGTGCTTCAGCGTCATCCTGCAGCAGAAGAAGATATTCAGACCGAGACCCTTCCGTCGAATGTCTTAGAAGGCTTCACGCCAGAGGCGAGCGGGCATCTCACGCAGTCCTTAATTGATACAGATACATAACTATACATATATGAACCCGCACATTTCCAACTAATGTTACCGAAACAACAATAAACAATCCATAATTTCACCATAAATAGATGGTATAAACCATTCCCACATGGATGATTTATTTTCCTTTATCCCACATTACTCCCAAACCTCATGTGTTGTACACTTTCGGAAATACAGATCCTTCTCACACGCTACATGCATTCTTCCCACATAGCATTACATCATTGGTGCATGGTCTTGGGCACACATTCCTCGCGGACATCTTCCCTGGACAGCAGCATCTGCCTCCCTGACAGGCTTTTTTCGAAGCAGTCAGTGGTGATTACTCTGTGAAGAAAAAGAGTGGCCGAGTTTGGGGACCTGGTGGATACGGCCGCTTGGCAAACGTGGATGAGGTTTACCCCAGTTTCCTGGCATTCGGCCTACTGACTGGGAATGATGCCGACAAGTCCTCGCATGGAAAATCTCCTGCTGGTATCAATTCAGCCACAAGCCTTTTGAATCGGTTTTTCCAGACAGGAGGAAGCAGCAGATTGACACGCACGGCTGGAGCCTACGGAGGCACAAATGCACCAAATTCGTGGCAAAAGCTGCCAAAGAGTAAACCCACCCGTAGCCATCACCGGGATCCAGAGATTGCCGCGAACTGAGTAAAATGGCAACCAGCCATCTGCGCCCCACGCCATCAGAAGCCAGCTGCCACAAAACTGTCCTGGTCCTAACAAGACCCAGCTCAAGCTTCTGCCGACGCCATCTGCCTTCCATGGCCCAAGACCTTCACCCGACGTGACTTTCGGCTCACTACTTGAATAGGCCCTTGATTACTTGGCTGTGCAAGCCTGGGAACAAGCGACCCACACCTGTCGCTTTCACAAATTTAACTTGCTCCAAGTTCCTGCGGGGATTTCAATCAGAATACTTGCTGTCTGAACCTTGCTCTGGCTTGTGCATCTCACTGCACCTCTGCATGGGGCACCTCTGGGCACCTCTGGGGCACCTTTGTCCGCACCTGTAGCAGTATAGCATGGCTTGCGGGGTGGTGCGCCCGCATGGGGAATACTGATATATAGCACATACACTGGAAGTGGAAGGGCCCATGTTGAAATTTCGGCCCTGGACTTTGAACATCTAAGGACAAGACACCAGGGCGTAAGCGCTCTTTTTGTCACACCCATGACAGGCCTGCCTCTGTCGACTGCGGGGTCCGCATCTTCAAGAAGCATTGCGTAGCCAAAGATCCACAGGATTTGTTGCGGTCCAAACCTGCTGGTATGGTCGACTTGGCATGGCCGCTTCACGATTGGATTCGTGCCCAGATTCATATCCAGTCCAAGCCTAGCCAGACCAAGGAAACAACCGAAGATCTTGACATAGCAGAAGCCTGTGATTTTGTCACCTGTAACACTGCGAAGATGTCCAAGAGAGCCCGTCGTCGATCAGGCGGCTGGCTGGTGGCATGCAACGAGACGGGGGCCGTTATCGGCTTTCAGGAATTCTTTGGCGGTGAGAGCCTGACGCAGAGAGCTGCCTTTGTCAGCACATTGGTGCACAAATATGATTCTATTATTACCACGATATGTCATGACGATAGCTGCCACTTGAGAAGGTTCATGGACCGCTGGTTCTCATCCATTCCTCGTCTGTGTTTTCCACAAACCCACTACGTCCTTGACCGCTTCCATGCACGCACACATACAGATAAATGGTGTCAGACAAATTGCAGTCCCAATACCGAAATAAACCGGCCTAGATTAGACAAAGTGAATTCCAGTGCTTGCGAAATACTGTTTGCCTGGTTTTCCGGCTTCAAGGCTTCTTTTAGGCATATGGGTCGACTGACAGGTCATTTTTTTGTTTCTGAAATTTTGCTGCAGAGAAACGACTGGCATTGCAATCAGACCAGCCGTACAGAGACCGATTGAAAACAGCAGCATCGCACCTCCTGGCGCTATGTGCGCGCACGCAGATTCACGGTGCAGCCATGCCATGTTACCTGTTATTCCTCTTTGTTTTTGCCCTGCAGGCTTGGAAGTCGCCGCAGATCCTGACGATGAACATACGATTGAGCACGCCTTCAACCTGCCAGATGGCGTCCCCAGTCGCTTACGTCCCCTACGTCCCCTACGTCCCCTACGTCCCCTACGTCCCCTACGTCCCCTACGTCCCCTACCTCCCCTACGTCCCCTACGCCCCCTACGTCCCCTACGTCCCCTGCGTCCCCTACGTCCCCTACGTCCCAAGGTCCACTACGTCCTCTATACGTCCCCAACGTCCCCCACGTCCCCCACGTCCCCCAACGTCCCTGACGTCCTCTACGTCCCCAACGTCCCCCACGTCCCCGAGGTCCACGTCCCACGTCCCGGCGTACACAGCAGGCAATCCTCCTTTCCATTGTGTTTCCATTCAACCCCACTGAAGACCATTGAATTAAATCACCAATTTTCCAATAGGAACCAACACTGGTTGGTGGTTTCAACCCCTCTGAAAAATATGAGTCAGTTGGGATCATTTTTCCCAATATATGGATTGCTATTCAACATATGGAAAAAATGTTCCAAACCACCAACCAGAACATAAATCAACCCGAATCTCTCAGCTTTTCCATTCCCCGGCTCCAGTTCCAGGTGTCCCTGGCAGCGATTTGTTGATGTTCTGGGTCTCCTTCAATCGATCCCCCGTCGAGCCCGACCTGGCGCAGCAAGGGGTGATGGAAGTTGGTGGGATGGGATTCCTCCCAATGATTAGTGGATGGATATGGTGGTTTAATATTCTTTAACATGGTTTAATGACATATCATATGAGTTTTCTAGAGTTTTCTGGTGCAAAGTAGCGAGGTGAAGGGTCGGATGACCCGAATAGCAACTACGAGACCCGGCAGGGTGTAGGGCTAGGGCAATGATGCAATGATAGCCAGCCGTTTTGCAACCCTTCCAGCTCGAGCGACGCGTCCAACGGTCCAACGAAGTGGATAGGAAGACTGGTTGGTCCCCTAAGTTGACGCTTCCCCTATGGTGAGAATGGTCATCTCCACCAAACAGCTCCAAAATGCATCTATCAATACTGATGATAACAATCATCAAACAAAGGATCATATCTTTAATTTCTGGTTCATAATCCACTAATTCTCGCCGGTTGATAAAGTGATTTACAGCCCATCTCTATAATTACACTATATTACACTTATATGGCCCATTTATCTAAGTGGAGATATTCCATATAATTACACAAATAACACCATGGGCATATTATCTTGATTTCTCTACTTACACGCGCACACACATATATATATATATATGCTTCACGCAATATATACAGAACCTGCACAACCTACATGTAGATAGATAGATAGATAGATAGATAGATGGATAGATAGATAGATGGATGGATAGATAGATAGATGGATGGATAGATAGATAGATAGGTAGATAGATAGTAGATAGATAGAGAGATAGAGAGATAGAGAGATAGAGAGAGAGATAGATAGATAGATAGATAGATAGATAGAGATATTACGCAAATATATATATATATATATATATAGACATTGTGACATATGAATATACAACATACGCCCAGGTTCCTGTTTGCGGACATATGAAGCATACGTCCAACTGGGACGCCCTGCTTCTCCAGTCTCTCCGAGCCGGCCAGGTCCACCAGGTGGAGGGCGCCCGTCAACTCCTGGGACCGGCTCGGTTCAACGGTTTCAGGAGGGATCTGGCGGGGCAAAGGTTTAAAGACATGTCTGAAAAATAAGGCATATAAAATTCCCAAGTTTTTTTTGGCGCGAATTCTTTATTGACATCTCACAGTAAATTGAATGAATTGAAATTGAGTGCTTTGATCTCACCAGTTCGAAGAGTGGCTTGAGCATGGTTTGACTAATTCATGTGATTTTGTCATGGTCTAATTATGTCTAATTTTATGTTCACCAAACCATAGCTTATTCTTATTTTTTTAAAACTTGAAAAAAAGCGCGAAAAAAAGCAAAAAAAAAGCAAAACAAAAGCAAAAAAAAGCAAATCGAAAAAGCAAAAAAAAGCAACAAAAATGCAAATGGACAAGTCCCTTTTTTTTTCCCATTTTTCCCCCTTTTTGACGTTCCTTTTTTTTCCCATTTATTTTGCTTCCTGTTTTTTTCGGTTTTGAAGTTTTGCTTTTTGATTTTCCATGTGTTTTCCTTTTTTTTTTTTTGCTTTTTTTTCAAGTTTTAAAAACATTAGAATAAGCTATAGAGGTGGACATAAGTCTAATTCATATGAAAAAAATGAGCTTGATACTGCGGATTGTGATATGCGCAGCCCTTAGGGTGCACGCGTCATGCCACCAGTGGTAGTCTGAAAGATTCTGAAAGTGACTCTGCTCGGGGGTATGGGTGGGCAGAGTTTCATGAAGCAGAGATACATCTTGATTCCCTTCATGCTTGTGATGATTCTGGATGCAAAAATGCTCCAGGGGAAGCCGGCTTATAGCGATGGAAATCAGCTGCTTCGTAGGCTAGAAGTGCCACATCTGATTTGGCCCGTTGGTGAGCAGCGCTATGTGGCTAAAGCTATGATCATCTTTTTGAGGGCAGCCAAACTAGTGACAGGTCCTCTTCAAAATGAGAAGATCTCATGTAAACCAACCAACTTGTGAGATGACCAAGTTGGCTTCATGAAGCCGAAGCCACACTGAAGTCTGGACCTTACCGCTATGCACACAAATACTTCCCTCTGTTTCCATTCCTCCCATTTCCATCCATTTCCTCCCCTAACAATTTTCCCATACTCTTCCGTGATTCCTTAGACTTCCCGCATATTTTTCACCACATCTTGGTGTTTTCACCCAGCCACGCAGTTCAGCTCACGGTTGACGCCGTGCAAATACATGGCGAAGATGGAGTGCGACCGCGAGGACGTCGCGTTCATCTCGGTGGAGCCGACCTGAGCCCAGCAGCCTACGGTTGAGATCTTTTGGGGCCATAGCTATTGAAAATGGCCATAGAAATAGTGGATTTATCCAGCTATAAAATGGTGGATCTTTCCATAGTTATGTAAACGTTTACCAGAGGGTATAGCAGGTTTCTACAGAATGATGTTTGATCAAGTAGTTATTTTTTTCATGGTCAATCTTTGATAGCCCACAACAAAATAAATTGTTTGCTGGTGACGGTTATGTTCATTTGTTTCACAAAAAAACTAAAGGATTAGTTTCTACCCATCCAGGCGGTTGGGGATGTTTCGCAATGGCCAGCTGGGGCCTTTGACCAGGGCAACCCCACAGCCTGCAACCCATGAAAACCAACTCCTCAAGGTGGTAAAATGTGCAATGACCATCCCCTAATCTAACAGTTCGCTATGGAAAACCACCATTTGTTTAAATGGTACATGACTACCCATGGCTCATTTTCCATGGCTATCTGAGATTACCTGAAGGTACAAAATATTATAAACTCACAATTTTCAGGTACCCTTTATTGGAGGTACCATACATGAAGCCAATTTTTCAAGGCTATTTTTTTTTAAATTCCAGCCCAAGGCACAGCACGTGCTTTGGCGGCCTTCTCCATGAGCCGCTGGATGTGGTCCATCTGTTTCACCTTCACCGGAGCCAAAACCCAACACTTCTCATCCCAAGAGTGGCTGGTTGATGGGCGTATTTCTATGCCGATGACCCCAGTATAGCCCCGTTATATTTATATATATATATTATCTGGTACTTATGTGTATGTTGTAATGAACAGTTGATGAGCAAATGTAAGAGACATATGAATGAACTAACCCAGTTAGATAATGCTAGATATGGGATGGTATACCGACATACCCCAGTAAGTATATGTTCTTAACAGTTTAACACCTTATCAATTCCTGGATCCCGTTGCCATCACCACCAAGCGCTTCCCATTGCCTCCACTGAGGTAACGTTGGTCACCATGGTGCCGTAGGCCTCGTCGTGCTTGATCACGTGGACCAAGTTGTGCCCCTCGCTGTCCAACAGGTCCCGCAGCACCTGCTATTGATGCTGCAAGATCGGTACGAGGTGGTGCCCCCCCGCCATGAATCCTTGAAGCATCTCACTTAATGGCTGAGCAATATTGAGTAAAATACTCGCAACCCCCCTGTTCCGCCCACACACAACTTTTTAGGGAATCTTAAACATGTTTCAACAGAGTTTCCAGGGAATCATCAAACCCCCACCCCGGTTAAACTTTCTATGCCAGGGAATGTTCAAGGGAATGTTGAAGGAGTTTAGGGTTTAGGGTTTTAGGGTTGATGATGTTGATGTTGATGTTGATGTTGATGTTGATGTTGATGATGATGATGATGTTGTTGATGATGATGATGATGTAACATTCAACGCACGGGTAGCTAAGCTGCGCGTTGCAAGATGAAAGCCATGATTCTGGACATGCGCATTTTGTCCCACAAAACACAATGGTTTTCGATGTTCGGACACGTGGTGGACGTCGGCGTGGGCAAGAGAGGGGGTTTGCCCGTAATTAATAATACGATTCCAAGCCAGTTGGGAATCGGATCACCTACGTCAAGTCAGGCCATCAGCCACTTACTTCCTGGATTTTGTTAAAAGGAAAACTTGGAAATATCAACTCGCAAACCCCATATTTCAATGTAAAATGTGCCATGGTCAAGTTACAGAGTATGTGGGGTATGTCATCCATTCCACAATGAGAATCCTATGGAATCCTTATAAGTGCTTTATGAATCCTCGTTCATGGAATGCTCGCAATCCCTGAGGATGGCCTATTTATCCAAGTTTTGACCATGGCACACGTGGTTTGCGGCCATCTGCACATTTTACATCATTATAAATCGTTACGAATCACTCCAAATCCTCAAAAATCACCCCCACTTCACCCCCCACCGCCATCCACCACCGCTGTCCCAGCCATCAGGCAGCACCCCATTGCCTCATTGTAGACCTCCAGGAAGGACACCTTTAAGGTCCACTCCCAGCCTGGCGGAACTGATACATCACTGAAACCCATCAGTTTCTCCCACCTTTTTTGAAACATAGGTCTGTTGTATTGATCCCTTCTGTTAACCAAAAGTTTATACTATATACATGGATGGTAATTTTGGGATAATCGGATGATAATAGAGTGAACCGCTTTAACCCACCAAGTGTATGCGTATGGCAAAAATATTCATCGTGCATAAAACTTCAAGCCCAGAACGGGGAAGAGGGGAACATATATTCAATCAATGGATTTGTTTAGGGGAACATTTACAGGACACCCCTATATTTCATATGAAAATCAATGGTGTCCTACAGACTTTCCCTTAAACCAATCCATTGGTTCAATCATGCTGCAAGAAATGAATGCCATGTCTCCATCTACCTCAAATGACATCATCAAATGACATCAAATCTGAGGCGAGAGTGATCAGCACACTTTGGAAGTAAAGGCGTGCTGTGAACCCACAATTAATATGGGGTAAACAATGTTAAGCACGGTTAAACCGTTAGTTGTTCGCTGGAAACCAATCAATGTTAACCACATGTCAAAATCCAGCAAAACCCCAGTGTGTTCAATTTAAACCGTGATAATTAAAAAAACGCTTTTTCTTTTTGCTGATGATCTTCCAGGGCCACGCCTGCGGCGCGCATGGCTTCTGAACACTGCAGGATCTTCGACAAACATCGAGGGATGAGACCTGCACAAGTGAATGCTTTCGTGGCTGAGATGACCTTGGGATTCTATAATTATACAAATATATGTATATGGGTATTGGAATTATATGATATATATATGTATATAATTCCAATAGCTTTCATAGTTTTAATATGTAATAGTAAATAGATGTTAACAGCGTTCATAATGTGTAAAAAAATCACTAGATTGTTCATAGTTAGTAGATGTCAACTGCTGCCCTAGAAGGCGATCCGACAGGACCTACGGAATCTCAACCGCTGCAGCATCGGGTGTTTCTATATTTTTTAATGGAAATTCATGGAACCAAAAAAGAATCTACTTCCTGGCTGCTTTCAGGTATGGCAGTCACAAATCAAGTTTGCTTGCTCCAATCCCGGTTTGATTGCTCAAAATTCCTTCCTTGCCCATGATTTGGCACCATGTTTTGAATGGTTGGATTTGGGTCTAATTCCAGAAATAAGTGAGTCCAAATTGTTCTACATTTCTCTTCTTTCTACCCTCACACTCTCCCGGTTGACTACCATCCATTTGGGTTTGTCTGAGAACAGCGTACCCCATTCCATCCACTGGTAAATCACCATTCTCCGTATTGAAAAACAATTTCATGGCTTTGTTGAAATCCCAATTCTTAACGGTTAATCAAATCACAATTTGGACTGGCCAGCGTTCATTTTTGTCCGGAATTTCCCAGCGATTCTTCAGGGTTAAATCCATAAGTTACAGTAATTAACTGGGCCCCAAAAATGAGCCAACAGAGTTTCGTTTGGGATCTGATATGATCGGGGAAGGGATCAGTAATTGGATTGATTATAAAAATCAAAAAATATATTCAGTTTAAAGTGGTTAAAATCATAAGCGTCTTATTCCCTATTTTTAGTGTTTGAATCCTTGTGCTTCTCGAGATTTGTCCATCTACAACTTGATTTTGGGTAAAGCTTTACTGCTCAATTGAATAGTCCCGTCCCCCTAATACGAAACACCCCCATTGCATTTCCCAACTGAGAATTCCCTACTAAACCAGGGTTTTTCTCGAACATGTGGTGGTTTGTTATTGTTTAACCACATTATTTGGTGCCGGGCATCTGATAGCTTCGCGACCGGCCCAAAAAGACCACTGAGCTCTAGGCACGTCTAGGCACCGAGCCAACCAGAGAAAAGGGTGCCATAGGTTAGGTTACTGAAATCTCTATCACATAAGTTATATATTAAACAACCGATGGACTTGAGATAGGCATCTGTTTTGAACTCTAACGATTCAAGCTGCTTCAAACATCACCTTGGAATTTTCATCAAGGCACACGCAGCAACATCTGAGATCTAGGACACAGTCGTATCCTCAAACATCTTTTGGTCAGGTGGGATGTCATCTGCCACCAGATTCTCCTCTTCAGTCTTGCCTTTGACGAAAGGAGCATCTATATGTAATGGCGGATTGATTCGACAACAGTCGACCAGTTCGCCTCATCCATAGTAGCTGTCAAGCGCATGAACTGTTCAGCTTGATATTAGCCAACCAAACACCACATTATTTACCATCATTTACCTACATGTACACAACCTTATGACATACCATTACCATCCACTAAACACCATGAACCCCCATAAAATGGTAAATTACCAAAGGGTAATGGTAAAACAACAATTAATAAACCATCCCCCAAATCTCAATTTTTATAGGTGGTATAAACCATTCCCAAATGGGTGGTTTATGGCATTGTTTTACCCACACAATTATAATTTATCCAGATCATAGTCATGAAATCCTCATCTTCTCCATCTCTTTATTGTGACCATTATTTACCTACATGTGCACAACCTTGTCTGGTTGGTGGTATACCTACCCCTCTGAAAAATATGACTTCGTCAGTTGGGATGATGACATTCCAATATGATGGGAAAAATAATCCAAATGTTCCAAACCACCAGCCAGATATATATATATATACACATGTATGTCATTGTATGTCTGTATGTATAACATGTGAACACCATTATTAACCATTGTTAACCATCATTCACCATGATTTGCCATAATCATCACCAAAGAACCTGTGGGAATATTGAGGGTATATCAACATTAGTCATCACTAATCACCGTTTTTTTTTACAATTGTTAACCATCATTCACCATGATTTTACCATAACTGGTCATTGGTTTGAACCCCTCTGAAAAATATGAAAGTCAGTTGGGATAATTATTCCAATATATGGGAAAAATGTTCCAAACCACCAGCCAGATCATGGTGGAACATATCGATTCACTGGTTGGTGGTTTTAACCATCTTGAAAAATATTAGTCAATGGGAAGGATGACATCCCATATATTATGGAAAAAAACATGTTCCAAACCACCAACCAGATGACTATGTGTATCTATATGCTTAATATTTAATGTTCCAAACCACCAACCAGTTCTGCTATCGCTTCTCCAAGTATTCCCAGCATCCCTTCGCATCTGGCCGCACCTCGCCCCCCCGAGGCCACGCCCGGCTCGCCCTGCATGGTGAAGGTCTTGCCGCTGCCCGTCTGGCCGTACCTCGGCCGGGACGGTGGGACCGGAGGAGTTTCCGAGGAAAAACCGAGGGAAAATGGCAGAAAAATGGGAAAAAAAAGGAAAAATGGGTGAACGTTGGGAAAAACTAGGGAAGAATATGGATGAAACTTGGATCAGACATTCTTTTGTCTTGATGAATAGTGATGGAAAATTGACTCTAAGACCCATGAAAAGTGGAAGATTTCCGCTGTTTTGTGTTGGAAATGCATGATTTTCACCTATTGAAAGTGAACAGTAGATGAAAGATGCTTATCCTTGATGAGCAATAGTTGAACATGGATGAACCTTGATGAACAATGGATGAACCATTTTTTAAAAATGAATTATGTTGGAATTATATGATTTAATTTGATGGGAGCATTTGTCTATCAAAAGCCGTGATTTCCAGACAATATATCATAACTTATGTCGACTCTTGTGCCCATTGCAAAGAAATGAACATTTGATGAGCCATGGTGGGTGGCTTTTCATAGGCTGGTGACCCAGCAACACAACGCGTAAACACTTGAGCAACGTTTGGACTTGAGTGTGACGTATCAAGATCATATTTGATCATAGTATCAGGGAGAATGGCGGTATAACCGGCAAAACATCAGCCACATCAGAACGGGCCAATCACTTTGCATCCACCCAACACTGAGATGACATGCCCTGAGCGGTTCAAATATGGTTGAGAAATCTGGCTGAAGTATGTTTGAACATAGCTATGGGAAATTGCCCATTTAATTAAAAGTGAGTACAGATCTATATCTATCAATATCAATCTATCTATCTATCTATTTATCTATCTATATATGTATAATAATTTACCGATTAAACCAGGTGATTTTCCATTGCTATGTTTAATAACCAGAGGGTAAAATGATTCACTAATCTAAAAATAGCTCTTAGCATAAGGCCACTTGGGGATGATTCCCCGCACTAATTAGTCACTAACCAGATAAGTTGTCGACTTCACTCCATGACAGCCGAAAATTCTTCCAATGACTTCCCATTGAAAAACCACCTTTCTTTATACCAGGCGATACAGGCGGAACTAGGGAAATGTTGCCTGAAAAAACTGGGGACCTTAACCACCAAAAGCCGGTACATTTTCACTGTGCATGTTTCCCAAGGCAAGGACATAAGCCAAAGACGTGTTTGTTTTGCTCCGGATGGTTGTTGGGTTGTCCTGATTGCTGGTGATACTCTGAACTTGATTGCTGAAATCAATCTGTTTATAGTTGCTGAACTCTTGGAGGTTTGAAAACACTTCTCTGGACTGGTTGGCGGTTTCAACACATTCCAAAAATATTAACCACATATTAGCCATCTCAACCAGTCATCCCAAGCTATCCCAAGTATGAAAGACAATCGTTGAAACCACCAACCAGTTTCTTATTGATGAAATCAACCAGCCAGCGCAGCACTGAGGCCGCAAACGCAAAGATGCAAACCTTGTAGCCGTCCTCGGGGAACCATATCCCATTGGAACGGTGATGCGTCAGAAGGACCAACGTGGGAAGATGAACAGATTGAACAGTAAACATGGAACAAAGAATCGAAACATGGATCCAAATCTAAGGCCCTGGGGACCACATTTGTCGGTCTCTTTCTGGTATTGATGGTATTGGTATTAACCATCTAAGAATTTCATTGGGGTGACCCTCTTTGGGGATGACCCCCATGAGCCTGTCACATTGGATCATGTAAGGTTTCAAAAACGTGTCCGATCAAATATGGATACCTGTATCTTACCCTAAGATGATCGTGAAATCCAACAAGAAAATCATCATGAACTTTCCCATGCCCTTGGCACATGTCCAAAATTGGAGAATTCCATCACAAAATTTCCTGGTCAACTCCACATGTTTGATTATTATCTCATCTTGTTTCATGGGTAAATCCGGATTTTCAATGGTTAAATCCATTTTGTAAAGGTTCGATGGCCATGATTCAATCCCAATCTTTCATGGCTAAATCCAATTTTGAATGGTTAGTTTCCAAATTTCTTCCCAAGTTTCTGGGGATAATTCACGCTAAATCCCATTTTTTGATGGTGAATTCGGAGGTTTTTCGCCTCAAAGATCCGACTTGGCCAGCGCACCAATGCTGATTGCACCAGACCGCTGACTTCATCGAAGATGGCCTAGAGAAACAGACATGGTGCAGGAAAAGGCCCTAGTCACAGTTATAAGTTGGTTTATAAACCAATGATACTCTATAATAATATCCCCTGAAAAACCTGGTTAATCAAATTATACGACAACTTAGCTAACTATGGGGATCTTCTTATGGGAAGTGAAAGCGGGATATAAATGCATAAGAATGGGATGCTAATAGGAAATAATGGGATGCTGATGGGCGTTAATCAATATATCACCTTCTGGCAAAATAACAGGTGGCGAACTGGAAAATCATTGGTTTTTCTAGGTAAATCATCGAACTAAATGGCCCATAGCTCCCATAGTTATGGTAATTCCAACAGTGGGAAATCACCGGGTATATTTCAGTCATGTTTCAATATGGATGTCAAGAATTTTGGGAAATAATATGCAAGGAAAAAACTGAGACAGAGAAACTACATGGATCAACATTAATCAAAATTAGCCAACATTAATCAACAATCAGCAAATAACACCATAGTAAATCCCAGTAATATCGGTAATAACCACTAAGCACCAGGAATAACCAGGAATAACGAATGATAAAATCCTTCCCAATAATTTCCTGAGAAATGACATTCAGGTGAGCCAACATATTATGAACATTTTAGGGAAATTAGCATTACCAATAATCACCTGAAATTATTGTATTTTTCAGCAATCATATTTCCCCAGTCTCGTCGCAATATTTCAGCCAGTGATCAGTAATATATAAATGTTATATAATGGGGATGAACCTGGTATTTCACTGGGATAAAGGGATATGACCAACACTGACTAACCATCAACAATGGGGACTTGCCGATCAAAAATGTGAATATCATGGAATATACTGATACAACGTGATAAACGGAAAGTGGAAAGTAGTTACTAAATGTTACTAAACGTTACTAAGTAAAGAATGGAAGTTATATGATGAAATCAAAGTATAACATGACCTATAGATACCTATAGTATGACTAGGATCTGGCGGATATGGGAAAACATGACCCATATAATATGAACAATCCAATTTTTACCTTTTTAGCAATCCGAGATAAGAACGGATAATCCCCATGAATCCCCAGGGGTATCAATGATTCTCCTGTTCCGCTCATCGCCGAAGACAGGTTTCATCCCATATCTTTACCCTGCGTCCACCATCGCCTCCTGCGTGGCCAGGGGTTCGAAGACGCGATCGAAGTTGAAGTTGTAAGTCTCTGTGAGGTGCTCCAAGGTGATTTTGTTCTGCGACGGCGAGTGGCATAGCACAGCATAGCACATGGGTCAACCTTTGGTACGAACTGGTACTTCAATATCTGTAATTAATCATCTTTCACCTTTTGGCGATCAATGGTAACATGTACTAACCAACCAAAAATCATTTTTTGGGGGGATGCGGGGGGTGTGGGCAGCTATCTAAGATTCACCAGCACGGCATGCTATGAACCAAATGGCGCCCACAAGAAAGGATAAGAAAAGGTGAAACGAGTAGTGTGGCAGAAATGGTCGAAAAAACGCCCAGTGACCCATTATGATCCATTTGTCTGGTTTATGAAGATTGATAACTAGTTGAGGCACAAGGTCAATCCTTTTTTCATGCCAAACGCAGATTTGGGCAAACGTGTGCCAATAAAACTATCCTCATTAGGCCCTTGCAATTTGATGGGCAAAGAAGGGGATTTCACCAGGTTAGGTTGTGTAACCCACCAAAGCATCTTTTCTGTTCCGTTTCCTGCAACTTTCGGAGATGTTTTTCCGGCCGAGCAAGCAATTCATTTCAGACATAACTGAGCTGATTCTCAGCAGCAGCAGGGATGACGCCGCCAAACTCCGGCTCGCCCCAGGTCACTAGAGCTCCGCTGGCCAAGATCGCGGCAAAGGCTGAGCGTGAGGCATGAATCTGCTGAACGTCATGGAGCTGATCCCGGACCCTGCTGCAGTCACCACCCATCTCAGGCTGGCCCCATGTCACCACACGTTTATCTGCCAAAATGGCAGCAAAAGCGGAGTATGTGGCTTGCATCTGCTCAACATTATAGAGCTGATCCTGGACTGCAGTGCTGTCACCACCCATCTCCGGCTGGCCCCATGTCACCACACGTTTATCTGCCAAAAGGGCAGCAAAAGCGTAGTATGTGGCTTGAACCTGCTGAACGTTTGTGAGCTGATCCTGGACTGCAGTGTTGTCACCACCGCGGCCCGAATCACCCCACGTCACAACCGTTCCATCTGCCAGAATTGCAGCAAAAGCAGAGATTGTGGAACAAATCCGCCGAACGTTCCTGAGTCGATCTTGGACTGGAGTGCTGTTAGCACCATCTTCAGGATCACCCCACGTCACGACATGTCCATCCTCCAAAATAGCTGCAAAAGCTCCGCCGGTGCCTTGAATTTGCTGGACGCGCCTGAGCTGATCTTGAACAGCAGAACAATCACCACCGAGATTTGGATCGCCCCATGACACCACGGTTCCGCCGCGCAAAATCGCAGCAAAAGCACGGTTTGTGGCACGAACCTGCTGCACATGTCTGAGCTGCTCTTGCACTTCAGCACTGTCGCCGCCACAGTCTGGATCGCCCCATGTCACCACGGTTCCGTCTGCCAAGATAGCAGCAAAGGCCCCCGCCGAAGCATGAACCTCTTCAACTTTCTTCAGCCGATCTCGGACTGCAGCAATGTCACCACCATATGCTCCATCGCCCCAGGTGACAATCCTGCCACCTCCAACACACCACAGTGCAAAGGCCCCGTGCGCGGCGGCCATCTTTGGCCGTTGCGCAACGGCCGAAATCCAGTCCCCATCCCCAAGCCCTGCAGAGCTCAGAGACTCCATCAAATCCAGCAGGCGTCCGTCAGGCGCAGAGAGCTTCAGGAAACGTTGCCCAAACAACTCTTGCGCAGCAACTTTCACGTCGCCCACCTGGGTTGAACTGGTTGAACCTTCGCTGGGATATTCTAATCCCTGCGCCCAAATTGAAAATATCACCAAATTACCACCAAACGAAAGTCCTGGTGGAATGTACTTGCCTTGTTCATGAACTGCAGTCGTGGGAGGTAATTATTTAATATCATCGGGAAATGGGATTGCTATATCCATGAAATTCGAACATCCAGCCCCGACTATAATTCTAGTACCCGCCAAAAAGATACAGTAGAAAGGTAAAATCCTAAAAGAGGGATGAATTTCTATCTTCGTGGGGATAGCTGCAATACATCCAATCCGCCAAAAACATCAACAAATGATCAGCCTACCAAAATATAAAACATATATATATATAATCACCAAAATAGATCACAATACAAATCAGATCCCCAGAAAATAAATAGAGAGCTCCCAAGAAACCTATAAGTCTGATTCCCCCAGAAAGATGATCTAAATCAATGACTCACAAAAACAATGTAACTATCCATATTATCCGCTGATAATTTACCATGTGTATTGAAAATGGCACATTTAGTTCGTCGATTTACCTATATATTAAAGATTGTGATTTTCCAGTTCGCTATGTTAGTTTACCAGATCAATGGCCAGTCCAGGAACCCAAATTGGAGGTACCTACCATATATAAGGCCTATGTAAGCTATGTAAGGGGATATACACCCAAAATATGACCTTATATGGTACAGTACCTCCATTTTAGGACCCTGGAATTCCCATTGACCAAAGGGTAAACCATATCCAGGCACCGTGCTGTGCAGTGGCAAGGACACCCTTTCAGTACGACCGCTTGGTAAAGCGACCTACCAGTTGTAGGCTGTCGGGTTCACCGTTGAAAAAACTGGGACTTACCATGGTTCAAAAACCATCCTGACATGGGAAACATATGGAAAACTGGGGAATTTGACATGGTTAAAATCCTGAAATAGGGATTTAATAATGATTTAATATGATTTCATGATGTCATTCCGTTGAACCAATTCTGGAAAATACATTCTTGGAAATATCCACAAGTTTGGTCCACGATCGCAAAACGTTAAACCATCATGCAAATTCGGAAAACATGCGCAGCTTAGAAACCTCGGGAACCACCATCTTTGGAAGATTTTGACCACACACCTGAAGATTGAGCATCGTGTGAGCCACTTCATGATTGTTTTCTGGCAGTCCTTCTAGCCACTGCCTCTGGCGCTTGCTATCTGGCTCCATGGCTAAAACTGCTCCTGGAACTCCTTACTACGTGGGAATCCTGCATTCTCACTGCATGGCTTGTAGAATGATATTCACTCAAAAATTGTACTTAGTTACCCTTAAAGTTGTCTGGGGCCCTCAACTTCGTTCGTTTTCACAACAGCCTTCACAAAATGAACATGGAACCCATGGAAATTTGCACTGGGACAATAAGTGAAAGACCATGAAACTCTTTTGCGGCCTTTTCTTTGGATCAAACATGGGACATTTCCAGTCTAAACTGTTAACTTCCAAAGTCTGACGCCTCGTGGATTCCATGCCATTCGAGCCAACATGGAGATCGTCGTGCATTTTTTCATTTGTATACCCTCTAGTCATATTTAATCAGTGATCAAACATGGCTGGCTGGAAAATCTATGAACAAAACGGAAGTTTTGATCCGAAAATCACATACAAATTTCGCACAGGAGTATCAACTCTCTGATGCAATTTTGAAATCTTGACTCCACACGAATGGAAACCGGAGAAGACACAATAAATTCCAAGGTATTATGATGCAATTCACAGAAACATGATCAGACATGGTTCGTATCAAAGGCTATGAGCGTCCTGCGGGGCACATCGCCCAAGATCTTTGCAATTTTCTGTCGCCAAAAATATCGCCAGCGCGTTGCAAGCTAGCCAAGTCACCCACTGACAGTCACCAACATGGATTACGCAGTTATGGACGTCTATGAGAATTTGACAGCTGCATGAACATTTGAATTTCCGGGATCAAACAAGCGGTTGGTGCATTCAATCAATCCCAACAAAATCAAACAAATGGGATGAATCATCCAAAAGAAGGATGGAAGTTGAACATGCTTGAAAGCACCAACCGAAAATAATTAACAACGTTTCTACTTCTGCAGGCAAGGCTCTTGGGAAGAATTTGCGGGTCTAGCCCAAACCTGGACAGAAGGTCCAAGGCAGCTGCTTTGATGTCTGTTGTTTGCCAAGCTTTCCGCGACTTCCCGTAGCCCGTTACCACGATGCAATCCAACCTGTCGCAGACTTCCAGGCGCCTGGCTACAATTTTGGAAAGCCACCACTGTAGAGCAAGTACAGCTGAACCCTCTGAGAGATCATGAAGGTCAACTTCCCGATCTTGAAAAAATGATGTTGCTTGCAAGATTGGCAGCAAGCCATTTTGGAAGATCTCTCCACCAAGACAGCGCCTGGAATATATTTCCATACAATCCAACAAGGCATTGTACAAAACAATGTCTGGATCCACTTGAGAACCATACATTGACTCAAACAGGGTCAATGCCTGTTCCCACTGACCACCCCTTTCACATGCACTGATGGCGGCACTGTAGCTATAGACATTGGGCCTGATCTTTGCCTTGGGCATCGCCTGCAACAAGTTCAGTGCCTGTTCCCACTGACCACCCTTTTCACATGCACTGATGGCGGCACTGTAGCTATAGACATTGGGCCTGACCTTTGCCTTGGGCATCGCCTGGAACAAGGTCAGTGCCTGTTCCCACTGACCACCCTTTTCGCATGCACTGATGGCGGCACTGTAGCTATAGACATTGGGCCTGATCTTTGCCTTAGGCATCGCGTGGAACAGGGTCAGTGCCTGATCCCACTGACCACCCTTTTCACATGCACTGATGGCGGCACTGTAGCTATAGACATTGGGCCTGATCCTTGCCTTGGGCATCGCCTGCAACAAGGTCAGGGCCTGTTCACACTGACCACCCTTTTCACATGCACTGATGGCGGCACTGTAGCTATAGACATTGGGCCTGACCTTTGCCTTGGGCATCGCCTGGAACAAGGCCAGTGCCGGTTCCCACTGGCCACCCTTCTCACATGCACTGATGGCAGCATTGTAGCTATAGACATTGGGCCTGATCTTTGCCTTGGGCATCGCCTGGAACAAGGTCAAGGCCAGTTCCCACTGACCACCCTTCTCACACGCACTGATGGCGGCATTGTAGCTAATGACATCTGATTGAATCTTTGCCTTGGGCATCGCCTGGAACAAGGTCAGTGCTTCTTCCCACTGACCACCCTTCTCACACGCACTGATGGCAGCATTGTAGCTAATGACATTGGGACTGATCTTTGCCTTGGGCATCGCCTGGAACAAGGTCAGGGCCTGTTCCCACTGACCACCCTTTTCACATGCACTGATGGCGGCACTGTAGCTATAGACATTGGGCCTGACCTTTGCCTTGGGCATCGCCTGGAACAAGGTCAGTGCTTCTTCCCACTGACCACCCTTCTCACACGCACTGATGGCAGCATTGTAGCTAATGACATTGGGACTGATCTTTGGCTTGGGCATCGCCTGGAACAAGGTCAGGGCCTGTTCCCACTGACCACCCTTTTCACATGCACTGATGGCGGCACTGTAGCTATAGACATTGGGCCTGACCTTTGCCTTGGGCATCGCCTGGAACAAGGCCAGTGCCGGTTCCCACTGGCCACCCTTCTCACATGCACTGATGGCAGCACTGTAGCTGAAAAGGTTTGGACTTAGTCCTGTTTGGGTCATCTGCTCAATGAGTTGGCAAGCATCTTGCCACAATTTTGCTTCCCCGCAGAGTGAGATCCCGACCGTGTAATTACGTTCGCCCAGTTTCAAATTTTGATCAAGGAGAGCACGCTTGAAGGCTTGTGGGATCGACCCAGCTTGCTTCTTCTGCGCAAGATTCCTTCCGTGCTTCAAGACTGGCTACCCAACAGAATCGGAGCAAGTAGAAATGATAAGAACAACTTTAATATTCCAGGGTTCTTTCACGGCCAACCAAATTGGACATCAAATCATAGAAAAAATCGACACCTGGCGGCAAATCCAGGTCAACTCCCTCCATTCATTCTTGAACAATGATTACTATTCAAGTGAAACTCCCAAAGAAGCATAGGCCCCTGGCTGTTGTCCGACACTGCTCCTCAAGGTCTTCTTGAAATTTTCCCCGTGGCTCCCGCTGACGCTGGAAACTGGCGTATAAACCTTGCCACCTTCACAGCAGAGGAAGATGCAAAATATGCCTAGACAACTGCGCATGCCGGGCTGGTGCGCCCGCGCGCCCGGAATCTGAACCGAGCAACCGCAGTGACACGGTTAATTATCCGGAGAACCATGCAATAAACCAATAAACCCAGTTCCAAATACTCCCCAGAAGCCCTGGTTGATGACTGAATGTGTTCATAGTTTAGGGTCCCTTTTTGCGGCTTCCAACATGAGAGGGGTGGGATTTAAGATGGCCACAGGACCTCCGTCAGCATGGCAGAACATTCAACTACCCTCCGGTAAATTTACCTAGCAATGGAAAAGGACCTACTGAGTTCTATCATTCACCTACTATTTTTTTTCTCCAAAACTATGTTGAATTACTGGGGTGGTATAACGGTATAACAGAACTAAAAGCACTAAGGGGTGAAAGGGTGAAGTACTCAGGTTTTTCTTTGCCAATGTTTCCCGATAACCTGGGGACTGTGCCATGCTACACCCTCTGGTAATATCTGGTAATCAAACGTGCCAATGGAACATGCCCCATTTAGTTCTATGATTTTCCCAGTCAAACAGCCATTTATAGTGCTTTTTCCCATGTTTTTCCCAATAGCTCAAGATTTTCCACCCTTGATCCCCCTCGCCTCAGCACTCTGCAGCGCCACATCCGAGGCGCTCAACGCCGGCCGCACGCGACAGAAGACGCGGATGTTGCCCTTGAGCTCCTGCGACGGAAGCCACGGCAAGGTGACCCGTTTCATGGGACGAATGTGGTAAACCCAATCTTTTGGGGATGGTTTTTGATCAACCCAATCTTAGACTCAAAACCATTCCTTAGCTGGTCAGAAAATATTCCGAACTAGCAAAGGATTAAATAAGGATTGAACAACCCAACTAGCTATCCAAGGTTACGGTTTCAGGAACTAGTTGGTTTCGAATGAGCAGTGTCAGGATGGGACGAGTGTGGCAAACTCACTCAGCAACCACCGATATGGATGGCCAAAAAGCAGCCATCACAATGGTGATGACTTGGGGGTGGTTTAGTATTGCTTTACCAACATGAATGTGGTAAATCGACTTATTAACCTACCAGTTGGGGATGGTTTATACAACCCATTAAAACATGGTGATGACTTGGGGATGTTTTTGTTTAAAATGATGATTTCATGGGAGATATGATTGGGCATATTTCATGGATTTAAAGTAGTCAACTATATCTGGTTGGTGGTTTCAACCTACCCCTCTTGAAAAATATGAGTGAAAGTCAGTTGGGATGATGACATTCCCAACTGAATGGAAACATAAAATTCATGTTCCAAATCACCAACCAGATACGATCCAAATATCCTGTGTTCGCTCTTCGGTCATCAACCATGGCTGGAAAATCCCGGAACTAAATGGATGTTTTGATGGAAAAAAACACGCATTTAAAATTTATTATTTTATATTGCCATGTTTTGTGCGGGAAACAAACAGTTTACCTCTTCAACCTGAGGATTCAACACATCAAAAAGCATTAAACTGATTCAAACTACATAAAGAATGTGCTGATCTCCTCATTTTTGGTTCATTCTGGCTCCCCAAAAAGATCACCTTGTCCGCCACGGGACGAAGGTAGGGCACCTGGATGATGTTGTGGAGCTCCCGGCGGGTCAGCTCCGCTTGCGCCAACTGATTCTCTAAGGAGATGATGTAACCTGACCACTTTTTAGGGGGATTTTTATAGGGATATATCATCCCCAACCTTGGATAGGTAGTGTAATCCTCTATAGTTTCATATAGATAGCATCATATCATAGGACACGGCTATCAATATCATTAATGTGTCCCTATCTCATAGCTATCATAGCTAATGGTATGATGTATCATATGACATCATTGTTTGGCTATCACAGAATGTAACCCTATAGGTATCAATAGCCCAAAACAATAGGACACATTGATACAAATTGGGCACACACAAAAAACAAACCAAAATCACTGGGAAAAACACAATTTTTGATGTATTTTAAGCTGGTGAGGAATCTCGCACACCCTGGTGATCGGCTTTGTCCCGATTCGTGGCTTATCCCAAACAAATCCCCGCACTGAAAGGAAGTTTGTAGCTTCAGAAATCATTTTACACTATGTCTGGTGGATTTTCCAGCAAGCCACGTCTGTTGACCAGAGAGTATCAGAGGGTATATATATATAATTATATATCCCATTTTTTTCCAAGCATCCCCATCATAATCATCATATAGTCATCATACATATATACTCACATATGTGTATATATATATATATGTATGCATATATATATATATGTATATATATGTGTAAATATATGTATATATATATATATATGTGTATATATATATGTATATATATATGTATATAAATATATGTGTATATATATATATATATGTGTATACATATATGTATATATATATATATAATGTAATATGTCTGATTATATATCCCACTCAAGCACACTAAACAATCCACCCTGCGCGCCTTGGCGCTGGGAGAGGTTGCCCTGTTGCAGGTGCAGCTCTGCCTTGGTGTTGTCCACCTGCTTCGAGAGCTTATCCACCTGGGCAGGCGGATGGGGGGCTGGTACCCAAGGCAGAAAAACATGGGGAAATCCTGGGGAACTGGGGATATAAACCGCTACAATCAATGGGAAATCCTGGGGATCCTCAAATGGAGGTGCCTTAGTAGCAATTTTTTGGCCATGTGAATTCTGGGGATATTCCGGATATTCCCTGCCATAGGCATGAAAAATCGGCTTTATATATGGTAGGTACCTCCAATAAATCGGTTCCTGAAATGGCCATTGATGCAAGGTGGTTTTGATCCTGGCTTAGAAATTGGCAAAGAATTGGGAAATCATAGGAGAAGCATCAAGTATCTACATCCGACTTTCTTAGCTGGCCAAGTTGGTTGTTAGTTCACTACTGTGGTACAGCTTGAGTATTGTACAAGAATTCACTGTATAAGAATTTGATGGGCTCGAATCCAAGGCGGGCTACATATTTTCAGCTATACCAAACACATAGTACTTTAAGAATTTGAGGGACCCTGGAATAGGATTGCCAAATTCTTAAATTACTGCTTATACGTGAGGTTTGCATTCCCCTTTGCGGTTCATTTTTTTGTGGTGTGACCCCTTATGGTCTTATGGGATGAAATCGGGCTTTGCAGAAAAACAATTTTTCAAGGTCCGATTTTTTTCGCGCATGCTTGGACTGCTTCCAATCCACGCAAAATCTATGTATGGATGACTTGGGAACCTGAAACATTGTTTCCCCAATAACTTGAAGAAAACTGAGGCTTTGCAGAAAATAGTTTTCCTATGTAACTTGGAATATACTCATTACCATGGAATGACGCCGTGTGGGATGAAGCCGGGCCTTGCAACAACTCTGACAAGTTGCGCGCGCGGTGTGATTGTGAAAGGCAGACTACAGGAAACCAAGAAAACGACATAGTGACCATTATGCTACAGAAACCTTGCCTTCAAGGAATTTTGCCTTCTCACTCTCTCTTTGCCTTGGCTGCAAAGGGCTGGGTTTAGCATGGCTTGCAGCTGCGAAAAATCAATTTTTCACGCTCTGAAAAATTGATTTTTCTACGGTGCTCTTATGAAACTCAGAGAAGCAAGGCTTTGCAAAAAAAAATCGAGCTCTAAAAAAAGTTTTTTCCCGCACTGCTCATATGAAACTCAGAGAAGCCCGGCTTTGCATTAAAACAATTTTTCAGGCTCTAAAAAAATGTTTTTTCCACACTGCCCTTATGAAACTCAGGCAAGCCTGGCTTTGCATAAAAACAATTTTTCAGGCTCTAATTTTTTTCCGCACTGCTCTCATGAAACTCAGACAAGCCCGGCTTTGCAAAAGACAATTTTTCAGGCTCTGATTTTTTTTGTTCGCATGCCTCTTGTCAAATCTGCCAACTCCACCTTGTTACCTCGTTTAAGCTTGCTCCAAATTGTGCAGATGCATGCAATACAGAACGACCCTCGGCCTATTGTGGTGTAAATTTGCCGGCATTTAAAAATAAGAATTTGAGGGGCCCTGGGCCTCAAGCTTTCGGATTCTTAACCAGCTCTCGGGCTGTATTTTGCTGTAGGGTAAGTTTATTGTAGATATATCTGCAATTACTGGGGTTTATCAACCAACTTGTCACAAGGGTTGGGCACCACATGGTACACAAATAAGACCGCATAATTCCCACCCCTCCTCCATCTTCAAACACAAACCTTCAACTCCCAAGTGCTAAAACTCAATTCATGGTTCCTTAGTTACTTAGCTCCCCATCCATTTTTCGGAATCTGGATGCCCTATGGCTCGAAAGCTCGCTCCTTGGGTCCCCAGCAGTGAGTTTGAGCTCGGTGATGGCTTCCATCTGCTGCTGGTTGCTGGTGCCATGGTGCTCCTTGTAGCTCTTGAACTCCACCTGAGTGGCAGAGATGGTGAAACTGGGGAAGCTGACTCTGAAATTGTTCATCTTACATATGTTTTCACCTTCTTTTTCGTTCAAAATGGGATATCCGCCAAGTGATTTTGGTCAATCTTGGGATGATGAACTTTTTTTACAAGTAGCACATGGGGTTAGATATGTCTGTTGTTAGATATCTTCCTCACCAGTCTTTCAATGGGCCATCCTCCATTCCCAGGGATTTCCAATGGATCGATCCAGAAAATAGCCAGGCCTCCAGCCCGTCGCGTTGCGAGGTGAGCTTCTCACATTGAGCCTGGCGAACCTGGCGTCAAGTGGCTAAAGCAGCCATGTTGTGATGGTTCGCAGCACCCATAAAATGGTAAGATGGGATGATATGGGTTACTAATGGGATAATATGGTTTTATATGATATAATGGATGATAAATGGTAAAATTGGGGATGGTTTACCATTAGCATCGATTATATATATATATATACAATATTATACAATTAGCTCTATTGCTTTGCGGGAATCCCATTTTTGCGAACGGTCCCAAATATATGTGTAAATGGCTAGTATTGAACACCATGGTTTCTGGTGGTTGTTTGACATGAACGGGGAAAGGGATTAATGATAAGCCAGAGTATTTGTCACATATCCTCCAATTTACGGCTAAAATATGCAGGAAACAGCAAGCGCGCAAGCTATATCAAGCTATGCTTCGCCAAGATTAATCAATTACAAAGGCACAAACAAAGATGGCTTAAGACAAAAAATGGACGCTTTCACCATGCTTCACCAACCTGACAGCAAACCAGCCAGAATGGGGATGTGACCAAACAAAATTTGTGATGGTTCTGTGGTACTACTGCCGTTCGCTGGTCAAATGCCAAGTTCGGGCCACACTTTCTACTAAACAAGGGCATCCAACTTGCAAGAGTGATGCCGGTGATAAAGACCCGTAGGGCGTTATGTACATTCCCCTGCGACAAACTTGGTGCTCCGCTGGTTTGCCTAGTTTCTCATCAAAATGACTCAAAAGATGCGAAGATGCCAAACCAAGGTTGACACGGATATCCTATCCCCCTGATTATCACGCAAAACAAACCAAAAAGCTACAAGTACCATGCCTTTCAAGAAATGAGCCTGGAACCTAACATGAAACCAACCGATTGCGACTGTCAAAACTTCGAAAACCATGGGAGGACCCACATATCCCAAAGAATTTAAGTAGAATGCACTGCTAAATCGCCATGTATGGCAAAGTAGAAACACGTTTCAGCTGGCCCATCTTCCATGGTGGCAATAACAACAACAATGAGCCCATTTTTTCCACTGAGGATCCCCCATTTTCGGGTCAAAATCCATTCTTCTTCGAAGATCTCCAAATTTCTCCATTTTTCAAATCAATTTTTCATGCCCATATGTTCCATGTAATTAAACCAAGATCTACCTACATTTGGGGCTATTTGGGGTGTAAATCTTCCAGCACCATCTGGGATGTTTAAATACATCACAAGGCACCTCTAGCGTCTCCTTCAGCTTCAAGGCTTCCTGTTTGGGGGTCGCAAGGTGGCAATCTTTGGCTCAACAAATGAGTTTACGGGACAATCTTCACCGGAAACCATGGCTGTTTACCCCCAAAATCCTACAAAATATGGGTTTGTATGGTTTTGTTGCCTGTGAATGTTCCATCCAATTTCGGGAGCGTATCAATCCAGAAGGTTCCTGAAGTTTGAGTGGGAAAATGGTGGTTTCCCCCGAATTCTTCAAACAAAGCCTTTTGGTTAGTCTCAGATGTCGTCCGAAATAACTGGTTGGTGGAATAACAGCCCCTCTGGCACCGTTCAAAACAACATTTCGTATTTACATAGTAGTTGTGGATATTTGTGGATGCGCAGCCTCATCATCCTTTTAAACTTTCCAACATTAAAGTACCCTCTGGTAACAACATAGCTATTGAAAATTGCCATTTATAGAATTATTTATAGTGGATTTACCCATTAAAAATTGTGATTTTCCATAGTTTTTTGTATGTTTACCAGAGGGTAATCATCATCTTTGACATGGTTTGACCCTTCCCGTTTAGCAGGTCAATTCTTGCAGAGGACCTCACCATCCACCAGTTGGTGAAGACCCACTCGTGTCGGTTATCCTCATTTTTGCTGACATGCAAGGAGCCCACAGCAACCTACCGTTCACGAAGTTAATCCAGATCTTGACGGCTGCAAGTATAATTATTGTATAATATATATATATATTATTAATTTAATTTAATTTGCACATGAATACACACATATATACATATCATCTCTCTCCATACGGAGTATGCACAATACGTCCCAGTGCCCCAGGCTGCGACTCAGCCAAGGTCTCCACCTCTTCCGACGCTTTGCTGCGCAGATTCAGTTTGATAATCTGCTCCTTTTCCGAAATGCGCTGTCCATCACGGAGCTCTGAAGGGTGGTTCCGGAACCAGAACAAAACCCAAATAACTCAAATAACTAAAGAACTGAACATAACTGAACTACCGAAATTCACATGGCCAATTGAATTCATCCATTTGTAGATGGTTTTCCCATTAAGGAGCGCAGGTTTTTTTAATTGCCAGGCCAGATTGTCAAGTGAGGTTTCGGCATCGGGATAGCTCATCCCCGTCAAGCATGGCTGGGGTTGGAGAAAGCAGCATTGAAATGGTGGAAACAACTTGGCTGACCAAGACTGGTTGGTGGTGCAATAACCATCTTGAAAAATGATGGAGTTCGTCAATGGGAAGGATGACATCCCATATATGAAATGGACAATAATCCAGTCACGTTTGAAACCACCAGAAGAGAAGAGTCGATTCGTCCCCAAGGTCCTGAAACATCAATCGATATGGAGGTGGCAAACTTGGTGCATGTTCATCCACCCAAGTATGGCAGAATAGGTTTTGATTCATACTCATATATCCTGGTTGATGAATCAAACATGGCTTACTGGACAATTCAACCATTTAGTTACTTTAGTTCGATGACCTTCCTTTTTTCAAACCTTCATAAATTGGGGATTTCCCAGCTAGCCATCTTTGATTGCCGGAGGATACCTTGGTTGATTCATCATTCATCAAATCATCAAACTCACAAATCACCAGTCATTGTTTCACCAGTCAGACTGGTTTTTGATGTTTGATCCCACGACATCCTGGTTGGTGGTATACCTACCAACCCCTCTGAAAAATGATGGAGTGAACGTCAGTTGGGATGATGAAATTCCCAAGTGAATGGAAAAATCAAAGCCATTCATGTTCCAGTCACCACCAACCAGCTAAGTTCTCTAACTATCTCTCTTCCCTGGTCTCATGTTTGATGGCATCCCATGACATACCAGTATAATCCACCAAGTCCCTGCTGAAACCCATGCTTCAACCAGCAATCCCGTGTCCTGCAGCGTTGCCTGCCGCTCTGAGGCGCGTTCGGACCTAAAACCACGGCTGCAGGACACCGCTGAGTTGCTTGGGCAATGCTAATAATCACTGTAGTTACGACAATGGGGCCCCCAAGATAGCTAAGTTGGTTTATAACTACAATAACTAGGGTTTATGGTAGTTATAACTATAGTTAGATTGGGTTATAATATTTCACCAACCTGAATTGTTGGGCCATTTGGGGATGATTCCTCTTATTAACCATGATTCCAGTGAGGGAGAACAGTGAGGTCGTTATAATTTACCCAGAACAATGGGGTTTATAAACTAAGATAAACTAACCATGTCTGGGGGGGCCCGAAAAATTCCGAAGGGAAACATTACTGATCATCCCACTGGATGCGACTGGCTGGTGGTTCTCTGGTCCCATTTATAGTTGGGCCATGTTGGGCCTTAGAGAAGTCCACGGGAAAAACCCGGAAGTGTACTATAGATGCTGTGATCTTCTATAAATTTATGGTGTCTAACCCCCCTTGAACTAGTTACTAGTTCGAAATAAATCATCATAATTTCTAGTTCCCTAGTCACAAACCAAGTTTGCGAACTGGGGCACCACCCTGCTCATCCGTATCTTTACTGCTTCAATGTGTAGTTTTCCACCCAACAGTGGCGATCATTTTCCGAATGGCAAAGGCCCCGGGCTGTAGCTCTTTCTCATTTTCCAGGCGCTGCAAAGCTTGTCGCAGATCTGAGACTTGCTGCCTCGCGACTGGGCGCTTTGGAAGAAGGGCTCCTGATCATGGAAACTATGAGGTATTAACGATACATACTGGGGATATGAGCCACAAAATCATGGTAGAACTTCAGTTCAGTAGCCTTTGAATGGGGGTTTAAGCATTAACCATGGAAGTTGAAGCACAAACAATCATCAAATATCGGGAATGAGAAATCAGTCGATTTATATAATCTGGAACTAGTAACATCTGGTTATTTAACATAGCCATGGAAGGTCACCATTTTTAATAGGTAAACCATCTATAAACGGGTCATTTTCGATGGCCATGTTAAATAACCAGAGGGTAACAAACATGGAGGGAAGGCCAGCAAACAGCCACCATCAGCCAACGATCTTTACTGTTATATTAATAATAATAATATTTAAAGAAAAAACAATTTGGAATTATTTGGTAAACCAAGATTTCCTATTGATTTGGATGGAACCAGCCTGATGGGACCTTTCAAATCTAGCCGCCAAGCATGGTGGAAAGTCTGATGGTAGCTGCGTAGCTTTCAAGTTCCAGTCAGTTGCAGCCACATTCAAGGTGTACTTAGAGCTTGATTCCAACCAGTGTCTGGTTGATGACCCTGCTTTATCTTCTAGTATGAATGGAAGCCCTCCAGTTCTGGCACGTGATACAGGGCAAAATGATAGGCTTTCCCAAGGCGCCATGGCTTTTCACAGGCCCTTTGTCAAAATCAATGAAAATAAAACCAGCCAAAACACCGGGGCACGGAGTTTGACAACCAACTGATCATAGCAAGACTGTTAAAGTGGGAGAGTTTTGCCATGTCGGACAGGGGGCTTTTCCATCCTGGATCACCCGGTCGCAGGTGATCTATAGATCTCTCATTTTCCATAGCTGCATTAAAGTACCAGAGGCCAGTTGCTCATATCCCATGATACCACCATCGTATCCCAGTAGATTTTGTCCACCACCATATTTTTGCTGACTACCCTCCTGTAAGCATGCAAAAAGATGTGGAAAACCTACCATTTGTAGATCATTTTCCCCAAGCAAAACCATAGATGTTAGTTTATTCTAGTTGCTTCCAGGCTACAGCACCCGACAGAATTATGGGGAAAAAAAAACGTTTCAATTTACAGGCGCCGCCTGTCTATGATAGAAAAATTACGAACCTTTTTTTTTCCATAATTATTTTTTCCATAATTATTTTTTTTTCCATAATTCTGTCGGTGACTGTATGTCCATCGATTCGCAATTTGAATGCATTTTAAGGGGGAATATTGAATTATAGAAAATATGTGTCTAAAGATCTGGTATATGCCCCTAAGTCTTCCATTGATATACTACATACTTGCACTTGCATACATATTTCCATAACCCCCAAAAAAAAGGGGTTTGAATTGTGGATCCATGACATGTCCAACAGGTGGAGCCCCAAACATTAATTATGGAAAACATAATTATGGAAAAAATAATTATGGAAAAAAATAATTATGGAAAAACCGGTCAATCTGCCCTAGCCCCCTGATTTTACAGGAAAAATCAATTATGGAAATAATGGCCACCTCCAAGAATTATGGGAAAAAAAAAGGTTCGGATCACTTCCGGGATATTTTGAACCCTTATGGGGAAAAACCTAATTATGGAAAAATCGGACGCAGGCGCCGCCTGTCTAAGTTGAACGTTTTTTTTCCCCATAAGTCTGTCGGTTACCATAAATCCCCACATCTTTTGGTCCCTTCCATTCCTCCCCCGGGCCACAGCTTTCGACACAGCGGCGCCTGGTGGTGCCCAATTCAACCTCCGCATGCTCCAACTTCTGAAGCTGCGCCTGGCGCATCTTCGAGGGATGCCAGTCACAATTGAAAGCCTATGGAACGATAGGGATGGTTGAAACATGGTTGAGACATAAATTGCTAATATATGGTTAATATACTGATAATTCTGGTTCATATATCCAATCAATTACTTCATTAACCCATGAATTTCAACGAATTAATCTGGTTGGTGGTTTTAACCATCTTGAAAAATATGAAAGTCAATGGGAAGGATTGTCCCATAGATTATGGAAATAAAACATGTTTGAGACCACCAACCAATGTTTAATATGCATCATCTTTCAGTATTGGGGTGCCCAATTTTTGACCCATACCCAAATGTTTTTATATGTGACAAAATTAGGCAAACATGACAAAAACAGATTTGATATGATTTTTGACCAAAGATTCTTTGAATCTATAGGCCACTTTTGGGCTATGTGAAGGCCGGAGTAATACACCCGGACTATCAATTCGGGGGGTTTGCTATCAAAGCTAGTAATAATCGGCACACCCCTCTTGACAAACTGTGGAAGCCAGGGTTCACATTAGTTGGGGGGTTTTGGTAAGGTTTGATAAGGAATTTATATCATGTTATATCGATTTCATAGGTATACAACCATTAACAGCAGAGATACAATGGAAACTTGACTATCAAACAATGGGGTGCTATCCCCGGATCATTTTTTGAATATCCAAAGTACATGTGGGATCCCAATTTCCACCATGGGTTTCCTTTTGGGATGTATTTAAAGTACCCTCTGGTAATTTAACATAGCTATTGAAAATGGCCCATTTATAGTTGATTTACCTATTAAAGATGGTGATTTTCCATAGCTATGTTAGTTTACCAGAGGGTAGTTATTACCGTAGGGGTGGGAAAAATTCATCAATCTCTTCGTCTGGAGCTGCTGGGTAGGATAGAGTGCCTTTGCATGCCTTTGCAGTGGCAAACACACGAAGGTGGGAGTGGGAGGTGCCAAGGCCACTCGGAAGTTTGATGATGTCTCCAACTGGCAAAGTGCCCAATCCATCCATCACAAAATCAGGCTTGGTAGCCAACCGGTCTTTGAGCGCAATGATCTTGGCAACGACGTTCTTGATGAAGTCAGAAAGATTGGATGCATAAAGCCTCAGCAGGGACGTGCCCACAGGTTCCGTAAGCTCTTTGATTTTGGTTTCTTTGTCGGCCATGTCCACCTTCGCCCTGCGACCCACAGCACGCTTTCCACCACTGCCCAATCAGGCTTGAGGTAAAAAGTTCTGGCAGCTGACTCAGACGCTTGGAAACTTCCCAATACTTGTGCTGGTTGGTGGTTTCAACCCCTCTAAAAAATATTAGTCAGTTGGGATGATTATTCCCAATATATGGAAAAATAAAAAATGTTCCAAACCACAAACCAGTAATGGAACTTATTGCCGTGGACGTCGACAATGGAGCCGACATCTTTGCTGACTTTCGGGAGGGTTCCTCCATCCTTCAAGGTGACATCGGCCGGGGAGGTCGTATTGAATCCAAAAAAACGGGTTTGTGTAGAAGCTGCTGCCCACCACTTCGAAATTGGTTATGTAAGATATTGGTTTATAATCCCCATTGCCTGGTTCGATATAACCCCCAGTAGCCCTAGTTCTATTCGTTATGAACCAACTTATGGGACACCACCCGTGTAAGACGTCTAGATGATCATGTAGCATGTCGCCCACCGGAAATTTGTCCTTGAAAAAGTGGATTAACCGCTCGCCAAAATTACCCCAGAATGAATGGATCCAGTACAAAACCAGGGGGTTCTGAAGGTATTTACCCTCTGGTGAACATACAAAAAACTATGGAACATCACAATTCTTAATGGGTAAATCCACTATTTCAATGGCTATTTTCAATAGCTATGTTTGTTTACCAGAGGGTAATATTCCAGGGGAGTGGTTGCTATTTTATTACTAGTGAAATAACGACCTGTCGTATTTCCATGAAGCAAAATTAGACATGGCTAGTTCTGGCATTGCATTCCCTCGTTTATAGCAGCGACTCACCCATTTTTCAACTACAAGTCGTTAACATTTACCTAGCTACATACTTGAGTCCATATAATGTACAATAGTCAGAACACCTTATGAAAAAAACTGCTCATCCAATCCAATCATTCTCGCGGATTCCCCTGGACAGTCACAAAGGTTACTTTCAACATGATTATAGAATATATGAATATTTTCATGGTCACCCATATGGGTGTTTCTCTAAACTTGTGAGCCCCAGTCATGGGGAGTCCTCACAAAACAACGCCTTGTGTACATGGCTTTTGGGGTCCCAGTCATGTCAGGAACCAGGTCCCAATGCCGGCGCACCACAGATTTGTTTCGAAGATCCTCCACCTGCAGAATGAAACCATGGTCGCGTGGGATACATGCCATCTGCACCATCCCCCAAAATGACCATATTTTCAAAGGTGCAACTTCAACCATCCACCAATGGTAGGTTTATGGCATTGGGTTTCCCACATTGTGCCAGGGTTAGGGATGTTAAGGGTTAGCCATGTTTGATTTCATTGCGGTTTCCCAAATATGTTCATGGGCTTCTCACATGCGCATTTCATGTGGATTATGTCTCCCAATTTATGTGCAGGAGCAGGGTCCATCATTGGACTGAGATCATCCCGGAACCTACCAAAGGTTCGGTCAGTGCTTGATCTTCGGATGGCATGTGATCAAACCAAAACCAACCCGAAACCGCCTTAACCCACCCCTTCTTTGGAGAGCACGTGCTGTTTTGCAAGGCGAAGAAGAAAGAACTTAGAAAGAGAATCTGATGTAAGTTTGGATCCTGGCACCCTACCGTCTTTACTTCATATCAAAATCCCCATCACAAGAGGGGAGCAATATGGAACAATGCCCATCAACGACAACCCCGTTTCATGGTTTCAACCTATTCCACACATATTAGTTTAACTGGAAAACCAACCAGAAATGTAGTGAATTGGTAGTTTCTAGATCATTTTCCTAGGCTTTCCCCAGGTCTTTTTCCACCTCTTCCCGTTCCCAATGCCCGTCGAACTGTCTTCGTGCCTCGGTCTCCAGCTTCTGAACTCGTTGCTGCCTTGGATCGGAGGTTTGGTCAATTGGTGATTCATAGTGGGATTAATGATGAACCACTTGATGATTCATTAATCCCACTATGAACCAAACCACCATGACCATGGTCCATTGATTTACTAATCATTATTAATCCATTGAATCACCAATGATTCATTAATAGTGGGATTGATTCACCATTGGTCCATGGATTAGTGGGATTAATAACCTAATCATCAATGGTCAATTAATAGTTCCATGGCTAACCATCAATGGTCAATTAATAGTTCCCTATTAATAGTGGGATTAATGATGATTAGTAAAGTGAATCACCAATTGATGATTAGTAACCACTATGAACCGTAGGTTGTTAATTCCACTAATCATTATTAATCCATTATTTATTATCGGTGATTCAATTGGTGATTAATAATCTATGGTTCATCTAGGTCAATTTGATGGTCATTCACCAATTGATGGTCAATGGTGGGATTAATGAACCTGTTAATTCATGGTCAGTTAATTCATGGCCAGTAACCAATGAATCGGTTGGTGAACCCAATCGATGGTCAATGGTCCATGGATTCATGGTGGGATTAATGGTGGGATGAGTGGTTCATAGACCTAGATCACCATTCATCACTTATGGTTCTTACCACATTAACACAATTTTGAAGTGATAAATGATAAATAATGATGAATGGTTCATGGAACTTAATGGATGTGATTTAATGATGATAAATGTTCGTTAGTAATGACTTATGATTAATGGTGACTAATGGTGATTAATGATGATTAATGGTGAGTAATGGTTAATGGGATTAGACACTACGTGATTAATCCGGTTTGAATTGTAATTTCACCAGCAAGAATTATGTTCGTTGCTTGATCTGCGGGTCTTTTTGGGTGATTATTTTTTCTCTTTGTGCCCTTTGTTGGAGTTAACCGCCGTTTCATGTTCACTTTGACCCCAAAACTGAAACATATCTGACATGCCAGGTAAACATCCAAATTCGTCTTCCAAAGCATTTCAAAGCCACATTTCTGTTGGTCAAACCTCTTAGGACCACACTCTCTGGGTCACTTGACCCCGATTTCCCAACACCTGAAGCGTCGCTAGCCATGTGGCTCGAAGCGCAGCTGGTCACTGGAACTGTTTTGCAGCAGTTGGAGTGACTGGATGGTCTCCCGTAACGTCCCTTCCTGGCAGTGACTGATGTCTTGGGAATCCGCTGGCGCAGATGGAAGGGCTAACAAGACATGACTCAACGGCATGTTTGTCGGCATTTCTGTTTGGGCATTCCTGTTTGGGCAAAGATGTTTTTTTCCAAACGGCAGCTTGATATTATGAAAAGCTTCCGGTTTCTGGTGCTAAACGTAGGGTGAACCGGCGACTTAAGCTGCTCGGCGCGCATGCATCGTGGGTGGATAAACTCAAAAGGTTCCATTGAAAACCCACCGGTGAAATCACGTTCTTTTTTTTGAGGATGAAACGGAAGATTCAATCGATTCAATCTCAAGTTTCAAAGATAATGGTTAAATCATGTTAAATCCATAGGTTATGTTATGTGCCAATTTTCCATGATTAACTAGGAGGTTGAATGAAACCAAAACATGATTGTATAACTGGTTGGTGGTTGACCTACCCCTCTGAAAAATATGAAAGTCACTTGGGGATACCATTCCCAAGATATGGAAAAATAAAATTCATGTTCCGAACTACCAACCGGTTATCTATAGTCTATAGTAATGTAAATACCATCTATTTATGATGATTTTGGGTTTCCACAGTTATTATTGTTTTAAGTTTTAACCACATTATATAAGTTAAATATTGTTTCCACATTATTATTATTTCCACAGTTAAATATATGATTTTGGGTTTTCCACATTATTATTTCCACAGTTATTATTGTCAAATCCCATTTTCACGTGTTTTCCCCCGACCGTCGTCGGTGCTGGCCTTCTCTTTGAGCTGCCCTTGAAGGGACTGGAGGTCATTGCGCAAGGAGCCGGCCTACGTGCCGAAACGCACGTTGAACAACAAACGGTGGCAACCAACAAACACATGTGCTTCACGGATCTTTAGCAGAACAAATATCTGTTGGTTTAAACATGTTTAAACACAGAACAGCAAAGAAATGCGGGTCTACTACTGGATTTATTCACTTGGCCCTTTTTGGGGACATTCATTTCTAACACACACACACATATATATATATACATATATATATATACACATACACAAATATATATATATACATATATATATACACAATATACATATAGAATTCTTATGTAATCTTATGTATACGTGTGCGCACATATGCGATCATATGCCCGCATTTCAGCTGGATAAAACATTGAACTAGATTGAAATAGAGACTCCCTTGATGTTTGTTTTACTGGTATGTCTATTTTTTTCTTCATCATGGCCAAACATAGCCACAGGTGCATCAAACCAAGCTTAACCCACACATCTAGCAGCTTTTCTCAGTTGTGAAATGGTGAATGATCCCCAATTTCCATCAGAACATATCAACACAGCACAATTTTATATCATCAAAACACCAGCCAGTCTTTTGTGAATAAAACAACGCTTAATTGAGATCATGTTACTTTTTTCTCTAAGAGATTATGGCTTTGTTAGGCTGCGCCGCTGCGCCACTCCCCAGCTGCTCCTTGAGCTCATGCGACTTTCGCATCTCCTCGAGCTGTTGCTGATGGCTCTGCTCCTGCATGTGGCAGGGGGGGATCCAGATCTGATTCTATATCTGGATTGGTTGAAGGGAAAATCTACAGGAAACCATGGTTTCCCCGATGAAATACGAGGGTCGTGTAAATTTTCCTTTCCAATCCAGTGATTCAATATATCTGGATGACTTAGAATATTTCACTAAACTGACTTAATTAAGGCTATTGTGGGATCAATTCCCTTCACCAAAATTATAGCGAGGTCACAGTGAGGTCCTTCGAATTTGCCCAGAATATGCTAACCCCAAGAATCAGATAATCGAAAGCGATGGCTAGGAATAATGAGATCATCCCATGATACTTGGATAGTGGACGATCATCCCACAGATCTGACCTGGTTAGTAACTGGGGTTAGAACTCCACTTAACCCCAGGGGATTTGCGATCGCGGGCGCGATCACCAGGATTTCCAGGATAATTCCAAAATGCACAGAGCCTTGACCCTTACAACCCACGCACTAATGACAGTGTCCGTTGTAAGCAAATATGGACATCTTCGGGGTTGAAAGGCCACTGGTGAAATAAATCGTAGATCTGTATCTGTTCTCCGTAATGCGGGTAATCGTCGAGGAATAATTTTGACGTGAGCAGTTCTTCATGGCTAGCCAGTTGCCATTGACGAGCTGTGTTTATCAATGGGAATTTCAGGACCCACATATATATGAAGGTACTGTCTGTACCATATAAGGCAATATTTTGTGGGGACATTCCCTTACATAGGGCTGAAATGGCCATTGAATTTGTAGATGATTTATTTACCTATGAAAAGATATGAGAATTGGCGTTTTTTGATGGCTATCTTAGTTTACTGGAGGCTGTGTTTTTCCATGAGTAAGGGAACATATCTTTCATCGGACTGAGGTGGGCAATGGAAAAACCATCTTAATACACGGACAACTACTGAGGAATATAGATGACTGTATCCACTTGTGTGATCGTATGTGCATTTATCACGAAAATTTGTTGGGAATGTGCATGTGCCAGAACAAGGGGACTTCCCAGAGCCATTGTCTTTTACATTTAATTTTTGATTGAACCCAAACATGTAATTGAATAATAGCTGCCATCAAATCAGCAACAATACCCTCTGGTAAATTAACATAACTATGGAAAATCGTCATTTTCAATGGGTAAATCCACTATAAATGGTCATTTTCCATAGTTATGTTAGTTTACCAGAGGGTACTTGAACATGTTTCACACACTTTGTCCAAAAAAGGCCCCCCTTTCAAAGGTCATCCATTAGTCCGAACGGCAGCGCCCCCTCCTTGCGGCTCATTTCCAGCTGCATGTCAGACTCCTGCGCGCCGCCCCATACCATTTCCCCTATCAATTTTCTTCCTCATGATATATTTTTGTACAACCATTAGTAATGTACAACCATTAGTAATGGTCCATTACTGTATATTAATGTATATGCCCCTTGATCGAAACCAGTGTTTCATTATTGGATCAATTCACTTCGGGGCCCATATTGGGTCCCATCAAAATGAAAATAGACGTACACGACAGACGCACAAATATATATGGAGTTTTCCTAAGTCATGCGGGTAGCCCCAAATACAATTTTAATAGGATTTTCCATTATAAACCATCCATGAGGATATCCCACCTATGGACATCCCCATATTGGATATAGTTAATGTCAACACCGGATTAATAAACCATGGTTTATTAATTAGGGGAGTACTCCTCCAATAGTCATTATCTGATACTTAAATGGTACCCTCCCAATTAAACAGCCCTTTGGGGTTTATTAATCCAGGGTTGACATTATTATATATGGATATAGATGGATATAGATGATTTTCTGGGATATCCCATTTATGGAAATCCCCATATGGTTAGTTAATGAGGTAACACCATGCATTTTGGGGTACCTCCATGTTTTGGCCGATGGGATTCTCACGCTCCTTCCGCTGGTGGCTCTTCTGCAGTTCCTGCAGCCGGGTCTTCGTCTCCTCGTCCTGAGGCGAACCCCGGCATCGAAGCGCACAACGAGAAGGTGATGGGAGGGGGATGTTAATGGGATGTAACATGGGTCAACATCTTGATGATCTTGAGGGTTATAAAGATATATTATATCATATCCCATCTGGTTGGTGGTATACCTACCCCTCTGAAACATATTAGTCAAATGGGATGATTGTTCCCAATATATGGAAAAATATAACATGTTCCAAACCACCAACCAGCAATTTATAATTGGAACTTCAGTGACTTAACATTACTTATCTATCTTGTTTTCAAGTATTGGTTTTCCAACCTTATCTGGTCGATGAAATGATGGTTAATCCCATCCCCCCTACGTAAATGGTCAACAAGGACAGTGGCTATATGGTTAATAATATATACTTAATGGAATATAACCATCAAGAATGGGGACTTCAGTGACTAATCTATCAAACATTGGGATGCAATAACTTGGCTATGCTTAAGGAACCGCCAAAATAAACATTATATATATTCCCCCCAAAAAATGATCCCCCATTTCTAGTGGATATCTCTGAAAAACAAGCCAAATCATCTTCAGCAAATCGAGGCAGTTTCTTTCGAAAACGATCAACACATTGAATGTTTATGAATAAATGGGGTACCCCAATAGCTGGATGGTTTATTTCATGGAAAATCCTATTAAAAAGGGATGAGAACTGGGGGTACCCACATTTTAGGTATCATACCAAATGGGAACCCAATCTTTTTGCTGGGAATGGGATGCACGAGGTCTTTTTCAAGGTGGGGCAGCCACGCTCCTTGCGGTCCATTTCCAACTGCATCTGAGCTTCCTGGTGGGTGGATGATGTTCGTGGACATGTGAAACGATGGGAATGGGTCAACATCTTGATGGTTACCAGTAGTACCGCACAAGGCGGTGGCGGAAGTTTCAAAAATAGGAAACCTATAGGAGAGGTTGGTTGTTGTGAATCACCGATGGCAGAGCGAAGCCACTGATGGACTGAAAGGTGATTGATCTCTTTCACTCTTTCTCTCTCTTTCTCTCTTTTTCTCTCTGTTTCTCTATCTTTACCCGATTACCTACCGACCTACCTACTGATCTATCTGTCTACCTATCTGTCTGTCTGTCCATCTATCTCCCTATCTATCTATCCATCTATCCTATCTATCTATCTACCTATCCATCTCCCTATCTATCTATCTATCTGTCTATCTATCTATCTATCCATCCATCTATCTATCTATCTATCTTTTTATTTAGCGGTCTCTCTATCTATTTGTCTGTCTATCTATCTATCTATCTGTCTGTCTAGCCATCTATCTATCTATCCATCCATCCATCCATCTATCTATCTATCTCATCTACCCAGCTGGCCTCTCTCTCTCTCTCTTTTTCATCTAATTACCTATCTATCTATCTATCTACCTATCTGTCCATCTATCTATCTATCTATCTCTCTATCTCTCCCTTTCATCTGTCTATCTGTCTAGCCGTCTACCTGTCTATCTGTCTATCTATCTATCCGTCTACCTGTCTATCTGTGGTGCTGTGTCATTCAGTGTAATGTAGTGTAGTGTAATGTAGTGTGGTGTAGTGGAGGGTGGCGGAATGTAGTGTAGTGTAGTGTAGTGTAATTTAGGGTAGTGGAGTGTAGTGGAGTGTAATTGTGCAGTTGTAGTTGTAGTTGTAGTTGTAGTGTAATGGAGTGTAGTGTAGTGTAAGGTAGTGAAGTGTAGTGGAAGATAGTGTAGTATAGTGTAATGTAGTGTAGTGTAATGTGATGTAGTGTAGTGTAATGTGATGTAGTGTAGTGTAGTGTAGTGGAGCGTAGTCAAAAGGACCACCAGGACCGGAAATCCAAGCAAAATGATTCACCACCCTAATGACTACATGGGTCGCACATTGTCGGCACCCAGCTGGCCATGGAACTACCCGCGCATTCTTTGGCGTTCGAAGCTGTCGCCCGCATGGCTGTAAGTATAAATTATAACCCAACCCGGTTTATCCAACATGGCTTGTGTGATGGCAAGTTACCACCCAAGTTGCGAACGGGTCCCAGGGTCATCCCTCAAGTGCAAGACCAATTGATCACCTTTAGAACCTTCGGGCTCTCCCCTTTCAAAGTCGATGCGTCAAATCGTGCCTCATTGTTGTATGGTGTCTCGTAGTTGTATGTCCCACAGCTGAAAGACCAGGTTCTCCTGCCACCACTTTGCCTCAAAGTGGGTGGAGACCTTGCACTTGGTCTTCTCGCCATATGTGCAAGTGCCCAGAACCACAAAGAAGTCAGCTTCCTGCAGCTGCTTCTTCGTCTCTCCTAAGTTCACCAGCAAGGTGGACCAATGAAGGTGGAAGATGCAGCCAACCCAAAATACATGGCCACTGCAGTTGGTGAACATCCGTTGGGTCTTGCCATGGGCCCCAACTAGATTGCAGAGGGTCCGCTGGCATTTGGCTAAGGTGGAAGGACCCAAATGACCCCATTGACTGATATTGACTGTGCTTTGATTTCACCAGAAGGCACCTCCCTGGAGAACATCCTGCCTCAGCCTCCTGTCATGGCCGAGTTGCTCCCAATGGATTTTGCGGGCGAGGTATTCACGATCTGGGCCTCCACCCTGTAGCCTCAATTGCAGGGCTCCCATGGAGGGCAGGTGGCTTCCATGGTCACAAGCTACCCCAATATAAACGAGCTAAGCCGGGAAGCCTCTCAAGTACTTGCGCAAGAGTTTCGCTTGACGGAAGGCCGCGCCAAGCCCTGCGAACCGCAGGCTGAGGAACACCTCAGGGCTCAATCGTTTTCATAAAAACTTCATCGATCCATAATGTCTTCACAGGGGTTCGAGTGTCCTCATGTCCGTCTGTTCATACCTGTCCTCTCCACAGGTGCTGACAAGTGGCCTTGCAAAAGGGCTTCACCTCTGGTCTTCGGGGCGCCCTTTTTCGGCTCTTTGCCGGGCGCCTCGTTGGGCTTCGCCCCCGCTTTGCTTGCTTGGCATGCCATGGCCCAAACAACGCCAGGAGGATGAGGGCACACGCACAAGCCACAGCAAGCGCGGCATTCTGCCGCCAATGCAGGGCTTCATCCAGCGCGCTCTGCAAATCGGCAGCTGCTCGAAGGAGCTCACCTGCGCACTGCCGCTTTATCACCGCTAGGAAGTCGAAATGTTTGCGCTGATAAAGACCTGTACCGCCGATACCGCCTATGCAGGCTGTAAGGCGCTAATGGAAAAGTGCCAGCGCCAAATGAACTATAAACTCTCCATTCTCACGTTTTGCTATCAGCTCCCCCTCTGAAATGGCCAGGTGTTTCCATGAGTTTCTCACATTTTCCTGAGTGCTCCCCCTCTTAAATGGCCGCTCGATTTCTGTGACTTTGATTCAAGTAATATGGTGATTTCAAAACTCCTGATGGCCATCATCATGACGATCACAATGATGATGATGATGATGATGGTGGTGATGTTGATGATGATGATGATTAAGATGATGATGGTGATGATGATGATGGTGATGATGATGATGATGGTGGTGATGTTGATGATGATGGTTAAGATGATGATGGTGATGATGATGATGCTGATGATGATGATGCCAACAATGATGACCATAAAGATTACAAGAAGAATGATGATGATGATGATGATGGTGCATGATTATGACAATCAAAGTCCCTGATGGTGATGACGATGATGATGATCAGGATGGTGCAAATGATCATGATGACGGTTACTATCATGATTTTGCTACTATTATGATGGTGACTACTATCATGATGGTTATTGCTATCATGATGATGACGATCGCAACGATAAAGAAACCATGATAATGATGATGACGCTGACAATAGTGATGATGACCATGACGACGGGGATGAACATGAACAGGACGAAGATGACAATAACGAGGAAGAAAAGAATGATGATTACAATGATGATGACAATACTACTGAGAAGGTTAATTACACGTGTACATGCATCTGTCAACCAGCTAGAGGTAAGTGTTGCAACTAAGGGTGAGTCATAACAATTTCGGCTTTGTTCGCCAGTCTAACCGGACCCTGGCGCTTTGAACTCGAGTGGGCCCGCAAGAGGAGCCTTCTCCAAGTCAAGGCCCAGTCCATGATGCGGAGGAATGGAAGATGCCCGCAAACAGATCTGTCAGCTTCACCAATTTTGTGACCCAATCGGTCTGAACTCATCACATGGTACACCTAGAGGGTACCATTAGTTGAAGCTTTTGCACAAGCAGGATCACGCTGGGTCCTTACTAGCGGGTGATGTCAAATTTGACCACCGATTGCTGAGCACCTGCTGAATCAGTCCGCAACTGGAGCCACATGAAACAGAAACATGTTTGACTTTGTTGTCATTGCGACAGTGATGAGCCGCCTTTGTTGACCTCACTCTGTCGTCAACAAGACTCATTGCTGTTGCTTACCCGGCCCTTTTTTCTGCCACGCGGAGTAGTGCTCTTATCGGCTGCAGTCCGGAGGCTAGCAGCAAAATCGAATTTACCATGCATTATGATACAACTGCCAGGGGCGCATGGTGAATAATGACCGATGGTGTGATGTAATTGTGATGAAATACAGTAGATGTGATGCAACTCTTGCACGCGTGTGGGAAACATGCGGTGGGGTAGTGATGAGTTACCGCAGAATGCGATACAAAAATCATGCTACATTACTAGCAGTACTGCACCATATTGCACCAGGCAGTGGCTTCAATCAAAACAGTCACAGGAACTTTCTGCCTTGTGCTCATCCCGTTCTTGCCTGGCATGCGGGGCCAGCCAAGTGCCCCAAGAAGCCCCAAGAAATAACTGACTCTCGTGCGGGTCTTCAGGCAAGAGTTCTGGACAACACAGCCGCCTTCTTTGCTGCCCCCGGCAAGCAGGAAGCAATGTACTTCTTCCGTCCTTCGTCGTTACCTCAGAACTGCGTTCGAATGCTGAGCTGGTGCACAAAAAGCAAGGAAACGTGCGGAGCGTGGCATGCGTGGCGGGTGAAAAGATTAAATGCAAATACGTGCAGGAGCGTGTGGCGCAATGAGTGCATGGGGCACGTCGGGGGTACAAGTGCGTGCGCATATCGGCGTGAGCCTGCCAACCTCACCCCCTCAAGCCATGCAGTTTCCTTCCGGTTGTTCCCCACATTGACGTGTGGGGTTTTTGTTTTTAGTTCTGTATCCGCTCCTCGTCCTCCTCCTCCTCCTCCTTCCCGTCCTCCCTCCTCACTCACACTCACTCACTCTCACTCACTCACTCACACTCACTCACTCACACACACACACACACCTCCTCACTCACACACACTCACTCACACTCACTCACTCACTCTCACTCACTCACACTCACTCACACACTCACTCACTCTCACTCACTCACTCACACTCACTCACTCTCACTCACACACACACACACACCCTCACTCACACACACTCACTCACTCACACTCACTCACTCTCACTCACTCACACACACCCTCACTCACACACACACACTCTCACTCACTCACTCACTCACACTCACTCACACACACACACAGACTCACTCACTCTCACTCACTCACTCACACTCACTCACACACTCGTTTGCGTGGCAGGTGTGGGACAATGTGCATTGCCAAGGGGTCGGATGTACGCCCTGGCGTCCCTTGGGCTCCGCCTCTTTTGCGTGGCAGGCCCAATGTGGGACAATGTGCATTGCCAAGGGGTCGGATGTACGCCCTGGCGTCCCTTGGGCTCCGCCTCTTTTGCGTGGCAGGCGTGGGACAATGTGCACTGCCAAGGGGTCGGATGTACGCCCTGGCGTCCCTTGGGCTCCGCCTCTTTTGCGTGGCAGGCGTGGGACAATGTGCACTGCCAAGGGGTCGGATGTACGCCCTGGCGTCCCTTGCACTCCGCCTCTTTTGCGTGGCAGGCGTGGGACAATGTGCACTGCCAAGGGGTCGGATGTACGCCCTGGCGTCCCTTGGGCTCCGCCTCTTTTGCGTGGCAGGCGTGGGACAATGTGCATTGCCAAGGGGTCGGATGTACGCCCTGGCGTCCCTTGGGTCTCCGCCTCTTTTGCGTGGCAGGCGTGGGACAATGTGCACTGCCAAGGGGTCGGATGTACGCCCTGGCGTCCCTTGGGCTCCGCCTCTTTTGCGTGGCAGGCGTGGGACAATGTGCATTGCCAAGGGGTCGGATGTACGCCCTGGCGTCCCTTGGGCTTCGCCTCTTTTGCGTGGCAGGCGTGGGACAATGTGCATTGCCAAGGGGTCGGATGTACGCCCTGGCGTCCCTTGGGCTCCGCCTCTTTTGCGTGGCAGGCGTGGGACAATGTGCATTTTGCGTGGGCAGGTGTGGGACAATGTGCATTGCCAAAGGGTCGGATGTACGCCCTGGCGTCCCTTGGGCTCCGCCTGGCAGGCGTGGGACAATGTGCACTGCCAAGGGGTCGGATGTACGCCCCGGCGTCCCTTGGGCTCCACCTCTTTTGCGTGGCAGGTGTGGGACAATGTGCACTGCCAAGGGGTCGGATGTACGCCCTGGCGTCCCTTGGGCTCCGCCTCTTTTGCGTGGCAGGCGTGGGACAATGTGCATTGCCAAGGGGTCGGATGTACGCCCTGGCGTCCCTTGGGCTCCGCCTCTTTTGCGTGGCAGGCGTGGGACAATGTGCATTGCCAAGGGGTCGGATGTACGCCCTGGCGTCCCTTGGGCTCCGCCTCTTTTGCGTGGCAGGCGTGGGACAATGTGCATTTTGCGTGGCAGGCGTGGGACAATGTGCATTGCCAAGGGGTCGGATGTACGCCCTGGCGTCCCTTGGGCTCCGCCTCTTTTGCGTGGCAGGCGTGGGACAATGTGCATTGCCAAGGGGTCGGATGTACGCCCTGGCGTCCCTTGGGCTCCGCCTCTTTTGCGGGGCAGGCGTGGGACAATGTGCATTTTGCGTGGCAGGTGTGGGACAATGTGCATTGCCAAGGGGTCGGCTGTACGCCCTGGCGTCCCTTGGGCTCCGCCCCTTTTGCGTGGCAGGCGTGGGACAATGTGCAAGGGGTCGGATGTACGCCCTGGCGTCCCTTGGGCTCCGCCTCTTTTGCGTGGCAGGCGTGGGACAATGTGCATTTTGCGTGGCAGGTGTGGGACAATGTGCATTTGGCGTCCCTTGGCACTCACTCACTCACTCACACTCCCTTACTCGCTCACTCTCACCCACTCACACTCACTCAGTCACTTACTCACTCACTCACTGACACTCTCAGTCACACACATACACACAAAGATCGATGGATGGATGGATGGATGGATAGATGGATAGATAGATAGCTCTCACATAACCACACTCACTCGCTTCACTTCACTTCACTTCACTTCACTTCACTTCACTTCACTTCACTTCACTTCACTTCACTTCACTTCACTTCACTTCACTCACTTCACTCTCACATCCCTCACTCACACACACCACACTCGCATCACTCACTCACACTCTCACTCACTCACACTGTACATGAACATACATACACACACACACAAACTCACCCACCATCACCGCTCCATCACTCTTATACTTCCTCTTCCCTTCTTACTTTTCTATGCTCAGTCTAAGTCTAAAGAAGTTGGTAACATGTGGGGTTATCCGGTCCTTTAATTGTTGGTAGTTACCTTGCGCCCTGTTCCTTGTACAGTTCATCGCATCATGTCCATGATGTGCATGGACCATGTTTATCATGCTGGTGCGTGCGTCGCTCAAGACCACACGCGTATCTTCGGCTGAGGCCTGAGGTGCAAGAAACAACTTCAAGAAATAGGCTTCGCAGCCAACAGGGGTTTCCCGGGGAATGACCCAATCACCCCAGCGCACGCCAAGAGAAACCGAAGAGGCCCTACGACAAAAACATGTCTTGGCATGGTGCCAAGTCAGAGTGGCATGCGCTGGAAAAAAGGCAACTGCGGCAAGAAGAAGAGCTGAACACGGCAAAATTACACCAAATCTATCCAAATCTGCTTTCCAGGTACCGAGTTCCCGGTAGTTGGCTTGATACTCGGTGGCCTTGATGAAGTAATTATCCCCGGGGGCTTTGTGGATGAGGTAGTCACCAGGCCTCAGCCACCAAACAGCTTCTGCACAGCCCAGCAGACCGCATGACATCTTGGTTGAGTCTCAGGCTCCCATTTCTCCAGGAAAGGGTGCCCCGTGTCCTCCTCCGCCCAGGGCGCTTCATAAACCCTGGACGGGAGGCGGGAGGTCATCCGCCCTCATCAAAACCTATGATGTCAATGAATGGCCCGGCCCACATCTGTCCACACAAGCATTGCATTGAGGACTGCACGACCTGTCGGGCGCTGCCCGCTGCGCGCCTGTACATTGAGAATGCCAGGCCGGGACGCAGTTGTCTGCACCTTGGCTTCCGTTCAGGCACTGCAACAGCCAGCAACCGAGGGGCTGCCGACAGTAATGCAGCTGGGCAACAATGTGGCAAGGGGTTCGGGCACATCACCTGGGATGGGCAAGAGCTCACGAGCGGCCGTGGTTGCTGCCATCGGATAGCCTTCAGCCTTCGCCTTGGCATCATTAAACAGACCTCCTCGGCCATGGTAAGTCCTGTCGCTGTTTCTCCGAGCTCCGGGCGCTCAGCCGCGTCTGGGGAAACAATCCACCAGTCTCCATTCCTCAGTGGGGCACTTTGAGCAGTTGTCAATGTCCTGTAGTGTAGTGGAGTGTAGTGTAGTGTAATGTAGTGTAGTGAAACGAAGCGACATCTGAACCTCCAAAAGTGGTCCGAGAATGGTGTGTTTTGTGCATTTTGACTTCGAAATGTGCTTCGCGCCACAACGGCATGCACTTTTTCGACATCTGAACCTCCAAAAGTGGTCCGAACCCCTGGTGTTTTTAACATTTTGACTTCGAAATGTACTTCGCACCACAACGGCATGCACTTTTTCGACAGCTCAACTTGCAAAAGTGGTCCGACAATGGTGTGTTTTGTGCATTTTGACTTCGAAATGCGCTTCGCGCCACAACGGCGTGCACTTTTTCGACATTTCAACTTTCAAAAGTGGTCCGAGAATGTTGTGTTTTGCAGATTTTGACTTCGAAATGTGCTTCGCGCCACAACGGCGTGCAATTTTTCATGTCTCATCTGGCCAGCTGGCTCCGCACCCGCCGCTTTAGCGAGCCTACTCTTCGACCCTCCGGAGCCCCAAATCATTGGAAAAACACAGTGTTTCGCGACTTTCCTACCTTTTCGCGCATCTGCATCTTCTTTCTTCTGACTCTTTCTCTTCTACTCTTCTTTCTTCTAATCTTTCTCTTCTCTCTGCCTCTTCCCTGCTCTGCTTTTCATCTGTCCATATTGTCGGAAGTTTGACTTCTAAACTTCCTTCGATAAATATATATCCCATTAATTCCTGGTTGGTGGTATACCTACCCCTCTGAAAAATATGAAATTCAATTGGGATGATTATTCGCAATATATGGAAAAATGTTCCAAACCACCAACCAGCCATTAATTCTATAATATATATATATATTATAGATTAACCATGCAGTCACTGTCCTTGTTAACCATTAACATAGGGGGATGGGATTCACCATATCAACATCTCTCGAGTCAAGCTTGGGGACCCAAGTATGGTCCTCATCCCCAAGTCATCACCATATATGGGCGCTATAAACAAACATCTCCAGTCATGGGGATGGTTTATTGACGGTTTATGGCATTGGCTTTCCCAACAAAAAAATGAAACCACCTAGCTAAGCTGCTGGTGGTAGCTAAAATCTAGCATTTGGTGATGATGGTTCCCCAGGTAACAACATGTTACAACCCATTTATGATGATATTGGGGATCGTTTATGGCATTGTGTTTGCCACAAATGGATCTCACTGTGCTCATCCCGTCCTTCTCTTGCAGCTCTGCCAGCTGCGCCTCTTGCAACTGCTGCTGGCTGGAGACCATCTGCTCTTCCTGAGAGATGAAGCCACATGGTGAATCTTATGTAGATACTCCTTCATAAAACCAAACCTGAGCTATGTAGAAATCATTCAGCGAAATACATGATATTCTAATATCTCCGGTGTAGCATGTGGTGAAGCAACAAAAACAACAACCTGGCAACCAACCAAAGCCAGGTCTGCCCGTGGTTGAAATCCAAACAACCGCAGGGCGGTGCCGTCACCACTGTCCTTGTTCTTCAGAAGCGAAATCTTCTCCTCCAGGAGCAATATCTTCTCCTTCAGCATCTTCTCGTAGCGATCCTGCGGCGGTGATCATGCTGATCGCTGCCAGATGAGATTTTTGTCGCGTCGGACAGGAAGGTCCATCAAGTTACTCTTACAACCCTGAATCTTACTCAGCGGGTTTCCTTGCAAAAAAAAGTTTAAAGTTTAGACATTTGCTGAGTGAGGAATAGGGCGACCTGAGACGCGGTCTTGGTACTGCCGCCGTTGATTAACTGAAGCTGTCAATGGGAAAGCAATGAAGAAGTAGATGCATTACCATATTCAGACTCAGGATGTTCCAGTGGCAGGTTTGTTTACCAAAGAGCACCTCCACTGTTCCATACTTGTCCCATCCCTCAATGATGTAGTTAGGGAACAATAGAGGGATCTGTTCTTTGGCATACCATTTGGCATACCATTTTGTCATCAGCTACTTCGCATGGTTGCAAGTACTGGGAAGGTACCCCCTCCTATTTTCATCGACCAACCAGCAGGAAAAGGGCATCTATGGTTGTAAATATCTAGAAACAGATAATCTCCCAAAGGATAGAAAAGTGAATCCTCGCTATTTTAGTGGGATTTTACATTTCTATCTTCTCCCGTATCCCCTTGGGGGTTACCAAAAAAAACTTCCAGGGACCAGATTCCCAAGATATTTCCTCCTTAAACATCGCATAAAATCGCCCAAGTCGATCTGACCATAGCTACGTTAAATCACCAGAGGGTAACTATACAATTGATTTTGAATTTGCAGGATCAATAATCAATCTATCAACCGAATTTTCCATGTGTGAAATCCGTTTTTGAGAGGGTTATGTGATCTTCTTAGCTATAGATTCACTGCACCTCTCACCAAAAATCGGAGAAATGGCGCCCTCGACCAAGGCACCTTCATAGCTTGCAGGCTGGCACTGGCGTCGGCCTCCTGCGTTGACCATCCCGTAGATTGGTTTAAGGGAAATCTGAAGGAAACCTGCAGGTTTTTCCATGGACAAAGGGCTTTCCTGCCCACCCGACTCATACCCAAAAACACGAGTAGATACGAGTAGCAAATTCATTGAAGAATGGTTGAAGAACAGGAAAATCATCCATGAAGAAATTCAGAAACATTGTCGGGCGGCAGCGGGGTAGTCATTCCACTTTCTTCAACTCTGTCTACGGGGTTTCCCAGCAAGACTTTCCAAAAGAGACGGTTCACCAACTGTCAGATTGTAGCCTTCGCAACGCCGAAGTTTGCTTCACCACCTCCAAGGGCAGCCAAGACAGGGCCATTTGACCAACATGGACTGTGACTGCTTGTGTGCCTTCCAATGGCGTTGCAATGCCTGATCCGGAGGCTCCACGTCGCATGACCCCCGCTACATGTGGCTGACACAGCTTTCTGTGCAATACCTGTGTACCAGCCACGTTGCGGAAAATCCTTCAATGGGCCATTCTCTTGGCACACGGCATCTTTGCCGAAGGCTATAAAGACGGCTCAATCTGTGATGCCCCCCCGACCTGTGAAACGGATTAACAGCCACGACATGCGCATCATACCCAATGCCGGCACAAAAGACCTCGAACTTTCCTGCAGACTTTCCCTTGCAATCCAATGACCCCAACATCATGATTTTTTATGGGTGGTATGAACCAGAACCATCCAGAACCCCCAAAATCGAGGTTTATGGCATGGAGTTTCCTGATTGGAATATGTCTTAGAACATGAGGTTTAGATGGTTGTCATTGCGATAATGAAATTGTATAAAAACAAGTACTTCATATTATACTTCATATTACTTCAAGATTATAGTCATAGTTATCAATCCCAAAGCCGCATTGTAAAAAGATCTATCGTGATGGATTCTCCGATAATTACCATAGGGTAAACTAATATAGATATGGAAAATCAACCATTTGTAGCCTATCTTCATGGGGAAACCAAAGGTTTTCCACATCTATGTCAGTTTACCCTAAGGTAAATATATCTCATTACACAAATTATCTACCATCAACGATGCTGACAGCACTTTCTTGGGGGGTGCCCGGGTGGCTTCCAATTCATCAAGCGCGGACCCCAGGAAAACGACCCGACATAGAAATAAGGGAACTCATCAACAAACTGAGGCGCAACCCAACAAGCATAGAAGAAACATATTCACAAAAGCAGTGATAATATGTGATCATGGTGTTTTTTTACATACAGTAACATCATTTAACAGAATCTAACATATCTGGCTGGTGGTTTCAACCCCTCTGAAAAATATGAGTTCGTCAGTTGGGATGATTATTTCTAAATATATGGAAAAGTCACAGTCCATTCATGTTCCAAACCGCCAAGCAGTATACATATTACATATCGATATAGTCATCCTGGAGTAGAGAGAATATGGAATGAAGCCATCCAAGACCGAATGGCTGGTGAATGGGGATTTCTATCTTTTCCGGGGTGGGTTCCATGGGTTCGCAAGCTTTCCATAGGTCCTTCTCTTGCAGTATCTTCTGGTGCTGCTCCTGGTGAGGACTGAGGAGACTGGAACGCTCCAGAATAGCCGTTATGGTAAACAAACGTGGCTGAGAAATCCCCTATAAATTAGGATTCGAATGGAAAAACTATCTATATCTCTATCTCTATCTCTATCTCTATCTATCTATCTAAATCTATAAATGGTTGATTGTCCATTGAGTAAGGTTATATCCGAGGTAAGTGAATCTATGTTTTGAGGTAAGTGGACCCAAGAATTGCTGGTATAGATCCACTCATCTCGAATATATATATATACAATACAACATACAATATAACATAGTAGTATATGACATTTGACGCTTAAAGTACCTTAAAACTGTCTTTTGACTGAAGATTTTTGAACTTTTTGAACATTTTCAGCTTGGACAATGGACGGATTGCCCTTTTTGAGAGTTCATAACTTGAGGCCAGGGGTTCTGATAACAGGTTGATGTTGATTGGTCCCAAAAAGGGGCCTCTTGGCTACGGCCCTGACGGATCCCGCCTTCAGTGTGTCCATCTTGGCCCTGGCCTCTGCCTCCTGGATCGATAGGCGGAATTCAACAACCCCCATCGCCTTTATCATGAAAAATGACAATGACATGGAGTCAAATTATTGGCATTCGCCTATTTTTTCCCAAAAGCTAGGTATAAACAATAAATACATACAGTATATATAAATATCGCAACTTGAACCCCAAAAAATGTGAATCCCCCTTTTTCATCCTTTTTCACCAACCCGTGGCGTCTTCCAACCGCTGAACCCTCCACACCACCCTGGGGCTTCCAGGTCTGCACTCCTGGGTGCGGAGGGTCTGCTTGAACTCCTCCAGCTGATGCTTGTGCTCCTTCTTCAACTCCTCCTTGCCCTTCTCAAACTCTGCCTGTCATGCAGAAAGTGCATCCAGCAGGTGTAGGGGTCCCTGTTGAATTTTTGACCCACCACGGAGCACAGGAATTCTCAGGGCAACTGTCCAGAATGTTTTTGGACTTGAACCATGAGAATTTTAGTTGTCGCTCCCGTTTGCAATGACATCCGAAACGTCACCAAACCCTATAGTTGAGTGTTTCCCCGTATTAATAACACCTGAAAATCCGGAAAATATCTCAAACATCACCAGGCTTGATTTTTCCTCTTTTAATTCCCCCATCATGGCCAATCTTGGATGCCCTGCAAAACAATCAGACTCACAGGGAAAAAATGTAAAGATTCCCCTAAAAAAATGGCAAACAAATGGAAGGATTAAGCTACAGGTAGAAGTGAAAGTCATCCCTCACTGTCCCTTTTGGGTTTTCCCCATTGTCAACGCTGTTTCCAAGAAGTCATCCCTAAGTCATCCCTTTGAAAACACCATCACAAATCTTGCATTCAGCTTGCGGGAAGCCAAAAAGAGACGACTTCTGCAAGACACTGTTCCGCAGCTGATTTCTGGAAAACAACACAAAAAGAGACGACTGTAGCAGTTCCCTGTATATACTGTATCATAGGATCAACACCAAAAACTCAATTCGTAGCTCCTTAGTTCGCTCTCCCCATCTGTCCGGGAATCGGCTCCTTCCACTGGATCCGCGCATCCTGAGGCGCCCAACTCGCAACGAGACTTCCTTCTTCTGATGTGCATCCGTCAGGTGCTGTTGAGCCTGGCCGGAGTCGGGATCATCGTCCTATACCCTCTGGTTATTTAACATAGCCATGGAAGCCATGGCCCATAGAAATAGATGATTTTCCCATTAACACCTCCATTTATGAGGGATTTTCCATGGCTATGTTAAATAACCAGATGGTAGGTTGAGAAGTAAAGAGAAGCCGTATTTAAAACCACTAAGTCACTAAGACCAAAATTGGCTTGAAGCATCCATCATAGGAGTTTCCTGTTGCTTGAGATGGGTTGTAGCCCTCCAAAACCCCCGAGTTCCAAAAAAACATCTTGATCTAACGGCTAACGGTCGCCGTACTGTGCCCTGAGGTCCTGAGCCGTACTCAGTTGAGCCATTTTAAAGCACAAGCTATCCAATGCTTTTGGGCGACAATCATTGTGAAGTTTCAAAGCGCTCTTTGGATGATCCTAATGCTAAACCCATAGACACTGGATAAATCAACATTGTCTGGTCCTCAGCACAAACCTCCGATTCTTGGACCCTTGGTTAGAGTAACCCCCCAAAAAAAAGATGCCGAAACATGATTCCAGGACATTCTAGATCATGTTTCTCCCATATCTTCTAGCTTTTCTATCAAGCTTTGGGGTTTGGGGATTATATCACCACCATATCCCCTATGTTCATACCACCACCATATCCCCCATTAGCGGCAATCCCTATTTTGATGTTTCAATCCCCATCTATCATTTATCCCATTATATAGATGCAAGTAATATAAACACTATATCCCTATCATCTAATGGGATAAATCAAACCAATATCAAATCATCTCAAATCTCAAATCAATCAATTGTAAATCATCTCAAATCAATCTCAAATCATCAAATCCCTATTTTGATGGTTAAACTGCCCATGTTTGCTTCTTAAATCACCAGTCAAATCATCGATCTTTGATCAGCCTTTATCCCATTTCACCCCATTGATATGAATACCATCATTCTATATATCAATATCTGTCAAAGGGCTCTCCAATTCATAAGACATAAAACCATAGTATCTCCCTATAGATTCCCCAAAAATATGGTGGTTCCATTGGGAAAACGAGCCAAATCACCACAACCAAAAGCGCCCCAAAACGCTCCCTCCACCTCAATCGTCTCGTTCACCTGTCGCCGCAGCAGTTCAGCGGCCTGGACGCGAATCCTTCGAGGGTTTTGGGAAGATTCATGGGAATCATTGTGACTTGGGATGACTTGGATTTGCTTAACCCATAGGATCCATGTATGCTATATATGGTGACATTTACCATCAATATACCCCAAATGTTAGCATATATACCAGCACCATGGATCCTATGGGTAAGGGGTTCCCCAAAAATCAAAAATAATCACTATAGATATCCCAAATGGTGGATTTTCCATGGGGAAAAAAAAATCACCTTAAACAAACCCATGATGATAAGCTGGGATCTGGGATAATATTAGGCTAATAATTGGATATTGATGGATTTACCCTCCAGGGAAAAAACTGAAGTTTCGCATGTTCAACGGAACAGTTGGATTTTACCAGAAATTGACACATTTTGGGATGTTTGAAATTTCGGACCGAGTTTGACATGGGATGACGGGTTCATTTGATGACTTTTATCCACTGGTTGTCCATTAAACAGCTTAGGATGGGAAGGCAAAACATCAGAGTACGAATAGCAGGGAACACTACCGTGAGGGACAGGCACTTAGAATATGAAAAATCTTTTACCAGAGATAGAATACGGTCTACGGACACTGTTCTAAAAGCCAACGCATCTGGAGTTAGAATATGGCACAAGTGCAGTTAGAATATGAGCATTATGAATCATACATACCCAAAACAATTGATCATCCAATTGTCTAGACTCCAAACCCAAATCCAAGAATCGCACCTCCAACATGATAAACTAACACATAGTTGCAATAATTTGCACTTATCATACATATAGATTACTCAAGCAGACCAGGAGATAGAATTTACTGCCATCTTTGTTGCGGGGCAAGTCACCTCCATCCCGACAGCACCTCTTCCATCTGTGTTCGATGCTTCTCGACCATCTCCTCGCATCGTCGTTTGTATTTCGATGCCTGGCATGCTGCCCAGGGTGCCCAGGGTGCCCCTGTCGTGCAACTCTTGGTACGTTAGCCAATCAATTACTAATTACTTTGCATCAATTTCAATCAATTTTTACTATCATCTTACCATCATCTTACTCATTTTTTTTCCATCTTTTAAATCATTACTTTTTTGCCACCAAAAAATGGATTGTAAGATGATTTTCCCATGGATTTCCCATGGATTTCACCCATTTTGGGATCATCTGAGAAGTTTTTTGGGCCGTTGGGCATACCATTTATGATAACACCCACACACCCACACACACACATATATATATATTATATACAGTATGTCATATGTAATATAGGATAATATGTTATATGTCTATATATATATATAGTTATAGTTACAAATATTATAAATAACAAAATTATAATAGTTATAATCAGATATCCTCATTTATCGTCCTTTGTCATCACATATCCTCATTTATCATCATGTTCATAATAAAAATTCAGTTGCCTATTTGTTGAAACGGCGTTCCCCCTCTCTCCATCAAGAAGTCCCAAAGGGACTGTGCACCCATCAACTCCCTGAAGGGTCGCAGTCCGGGGCGAGCTTGGTGGGTTGGAGTGACCAAGATGACCCAGACATCATAGAGGTTTCCTCAAATGGTGGCACCCCTAAATCATCAATTTCAATAGGGTTTTCCATTATATACCCTCTGGTAAACATACAAAAAACTATGAACAATCACCATTTTTAATGGGAAATTCCACTATAAATGGTCATGTTCAGTAATTAGCTATGTAACAAATTACCAGAGGGAATCCCCATTGATGGAAATCCCCATATGAGGTTTCTGGGAAAACCGATGATCGATCCACAACCTGTTTCTCGGAATTTCACGGATATTCAGTGGGAAATTCAACTTGACCTATAAACCTATATATATTTCTTCCTATATCTTTGGTTTCTTTATCCATTCCCCCCTGATTGATCTGATGGCTTGGTGCTGTCATGTGCTGTCATGTGCTGTCATGTGCTGTCAACCCATCCAAATACCCCAAATGTTCAATAAAATCCCGAAAATATGATCTGGAAGATGACTTTCCGATCGGGCTGTAGCCATTTTTGGCTTTTAAAACCCAATCCATAGATAAATTTAGGAGTCTACCCTCGGGTAAACTAACATAACTATTGAAAATTGCCATTTATAGTGGATTTTCACATTCAAAATGATGATTTTCCATAGTTTCTTGTATGTTTACCAGAGGGTATATTCAAGACCACCAGGCCACCATCTTTTCACCTCGCCATATCTCCGGCTGTGATCATCTTCCACTCATCTTCCCCTGGCCCGAGGGACACACCGCTCCTCAACGGTGTTGCACCCAACGTTTCGGCGCGCCGTTGCAACGGCCGCCGTTGCGGCAACGCAGTGGGAGCGGGAAGTGAGGTAGAAGAAGGTATGACTTGGAAGGCATTGAAAGACAGCCAGTTCGGTGGACTTTTCTGTTTTTTCATGTTTTTTGGGTTGTAGATTATAACATCCCCCTAATATTGAACAGCCCCTAAATGGTCCCAAATGCCCCTACTAACCCATGGTTTACGGGAGATGTTTAATATTCGCGGGGGGGATTCATTCATCAACCTGAAATAAGGTAATTTTGGAACAGGTACCCCAACCCAATTCCCATCATTCCAGTGACGTCGCAACGTGATGTCGTGATCAAATTTGTCCAAATGATTGTTGTTTGGTTTCAATGAACCCTGAGAAATCTATGCTAAAAGTTGCCGTTGGGAGATCTAACATCTGCTGAACATGGGACTGTCGGGATCAGCGATTAGGATGTCCGGCGGTCCTGAGATTTGGTATATTACCCTCTGGTAAACATACAAAAAACTATTGAAAATTGCCATTTATAGTGGATTTACCCATGAAACATGGTGATTTTCCACAGTTTTTTGTATGTTTACCAGAGGGTAAATACCTGACGGTGGGGAAATCGACCAACAGTGACAGGGGAGACTGCCATGGCCACTCCGCCCAATATAACTTGGCATGTAAAGCCACCGATATAGTTAACCTAATTACTCCAAAAAATCTTAGAAACCGACTTGGCTAACTGTGAAGCCGCCCACCAAACGGCTGTATGGCCAAATGCGACAGAGCTTAGTTGCTTAAATGCGAATGCTACGGCTCGTCTGCACTCATGACCGCGCGGTCGGCACGTCACAGGGACGCTAATCTCTGACATCTGAAGTGGACACATCTGCACGAAAGGGCCACCACTTGTAGGATCATCCCACTTAGTGGTCATAGTAGCTAGGGGTAGTAACCGGCCATTTATGAATGGGATATATATATATATAAGATATAATATATATATATATATCTTTACTGGTTGGTGGTTGAGCCTACCCCTCTGAAAAATATGAAAGTCAGTTGGGGTTACTAGTCCCAGTATATGGAAAAATAAAAAAATGTTTGAAACCACCAACCAGTATATATCATGGGATAAATCCACTGAATGGGGCCCTTACTCGATCTAACTAGGCTTATCAGCCACTTACGATTCCTGAGATGATCCTCGCAAGTTATGTCCAGCTTCAGGCCCCTGATGTGCGGCCCTTCATGAGAGCACTGCGGGGTGCTGACATCAACCTGAAACGACAAGTATATAGTACCAAACATCGATTGAACAGATGATACAGATGTGCCAAACATTTTTGGCACATCATGTTCTACGCAAATGAACCCGTAAACGCAGAATCCAATCCAAGGAACATATATTCAAAAAACCTGAAGTCATCAATATCTTTTTGGATGATTCCCGCTACAGTAGTGAATATTAATCTATAATTTAGCCGACCCGTATCTAGTCATTGTGAAGTCGTTCTGATTCATCGCTAAGGTCACTTTCGACTGCTGCCCAATGTGTTTCTCTTCAAATGTCAGTCCTATAGTGCCTTTTGAAGGCGGCAGAGCCAGCCGTGGTATGTCAGGAAAGTACCATGCCAGTCTACCAAAACCTTTAGAGCATAGCAAGCCCCAAAACGATGCCAAACAGTTGGAAAATTGAAAAAGCATAGTTCACAAGCTGCAAATTATGGGGCGCCATCATCAAACTCACATCCTGGAATAATTCTTCGATACGTTCCGATGTGTTGGGGGACCCCCCAAAAAGAAGTGGACTTCCCTTCATCCGAAGGAGAGAAAATGATGTTGGAAACAACCATCAGTCCATGTAGAGCTCACATCTGGAAAATCGCTTCAGCATCAGCTCTTTGCTACAAGATCATGGCGATGGGTTTCTGGCAAAAACAGGACAATATACACATCCCTGACTGGAAAGAAGCCGTGTTTTTAGGGATGAATGGGTCACAGCAAGCAATTCACCAAGAGGCATGCCATGTCCTGACACAATCGCACGGGTCCAAAAAGAAACGCGAGGCTGGCGTCACCGCTCGGATGTCCCATGGATCATGGGGTGAATTTTCAGTCTTTGAAGGGAACATGTTTTTTTTGGGGGGGGAGGGGGCAATATAGAAATCACATTCATGAAAACATTACTTTTAGGCAGTTCAAGATGGTTCAAGTTTCTTGGAGTTTCTTAGGGACTAACTCCTCAAAGAGGGGCGACTCAACATGTTTTAATACCCGGCTACTTTAAGATCCTGGATGGGTTGATTCTTCCCTGGATTCCCTGAATTCATCCATGGGTGCGTGCAATTCACAACTCGTATTACGCATAGCAAAACTTGATTCCTTTTTAAACATTTCGGCGCATACCTCATAGCTATGATCACTTTCATATATGGTTTCACCATCTCTTTCTTAATTTTGCTTCACATTCCTCCGTGAAACCGAAGCTGCAAGTCATCGCAAGTCATCCGAGCAGAGATCCAAGGTGGTCAACGGGTCCCCCGTCCATTCTGCCCCCGAGGATGTTGCTGCTCGTGTAGGTAAATCATTTCCAGTTTTTTGGGATGAAAATTGGTAGTTTTAGACATTTAATTCATTTAGCAAGTTTTTAACATTGGGATGTTGGGAGCAAGCCTGAGTGACAATGGGTTGCGAACTGGTGATAGAATGGGATAGCATATGGATAGAATATGGTGATGAGAACAAGACAGGAGAGAAAAAGTACCAAAGCACCCCCAATGTTGGACATAGTCAAAAAATGAATCATCAATAACTGACCACCCGACGCCAAGATAGATACAGTAAATAGAAATGTGGGACTGTGGGACACTTTTGAAAATTGATGCATAGGGTTTTGCCACTTAAAGCCGGGGAAACTATCAAGCAGTTTCTGGAATGATCCATCAACTGATTTCAGGTAGCTACAAGGGAGGGACAGCACCACTATCTTGGGGGCAATGTTCCGCTTTTCACACCAAGTAATTATATCGAATGAGAATGAGTACTTCCATGTGATGGTAGATAGATAGTAGGTACCTGGAAGTGTGACGGATCAGTTTGTTAATCTCAGGCGGGTAGGAGCACAATGTCTACCAACCCATTTGAACTTCGACTCCAGGAAAATCTGTGGCCACAGGCCTTCAGACATGTCCGCACATCCCCGGGGGCTGCCTCCCAACCGCTCTGTCGCTGGGAGGGGAAAATCAGACCCCGTCGGCCGTGGTTGTAAGCGCGGCCGAGAAAGGGGAAGCTCTCACGACAGAAGCGAGTCACAAAAGGTGTAGGCGTTTCCACCTTGGGCCAAGGACAGCAGAGTTGGAGGGCTAAGGGATAGTAGCTTAATCCCAGAAATCACCACTGACATAAATTCCTGCCAGTGGTTTATCAAATACAGTGCAAAACAACGTGGCAAACCTGAAACCACAACCACAACCAATATCAACCAATCCTAACCAATCCTAATCATGTTTTTTTAACGTGCCAGAAATATCCAGAAATTCCAACAATTCTTCTATGGTCTATGGCCTGGGTTTATCATGGTCTACGGTCTACCCATGTTTACTCCCTAAAATTATCCATTGAACCCCTGAAAATCCGGGTGTCAACTGCAGCTTTTTCGGTGAAGGGACGCCGAACGGTGAGGTATGTGAGTTCCTTTGAGGCCGCTCCCACGCTATAGACCTAGCAGCTGCCATACGGCGGACGTTGGGATGTTTTTAGGGTTATCCAATCCCACTAAGGAATGGCCCGTTTTCTTGGGGACCCGGGGTGTCAAAAAATGAAGACAATGACGCAACCAGGGCTTCGGATGGCTTCGGGGGGTACGGAATCTGATACTGGGGCGATTGCACGTTCACCGCAAGAATTTGTAGATCAGTTATTGAGGAAAGAGATTCGATGAGGGTTTTTGAGGAAATGGTGGATTTCTACAGCAACATGCGTTTGGCATTGGCATGACGCAACTCGGGTATGGGTTCATTCCCTCCAGGATTCTGTTTCATTGCGGGAGTGCCTTCAGGAAAACCACTGGGATTTCCAATAGGTCCAATGTAGTGCCCGCCATTTCAAAGTTGGTTTTTCACCACCATGAAGTAGTTCGATGCATCTATTGCTAATACCTACCATAAACCCAGCAGTTATGCTAATTGTCAACCAACTTAGATAACATAAACCACTTGAGAGGGGGAACGCGAAAGGTAGGGCAGCAAGAAAGTCCGGAAGGGGGGGGGCGTGTTCGTGTTCTTGTTCTGCTTGTTAACGGGCCGGCGGGTGCGCGAAAATTTCGATCCCGAGGCTGCGCCCAGTATGCACTGGCACACACACACACACCCCAGTTGCTCATGAGCCACAAGGAAAGAAAAGAGCTGGTCCTTCGCACCCGCAGGTGTTCTTGTTCGTGTTCTTCTTCTTTTTGTTGTCGTGCTGGTCGTTGTCGTTGTCGTTGTCGTTGTCGTCGTTGTTGTCGTTGTTGTTCTTGTTGTTGTTGTTCTTGTTGTTCTTGTTGTTCTTGTTGTTCTTGTTGTTCTTGTTGTTCTTGTTGTTCTTGTTGTTCTTGTTGTTCTTGTTGTTCTTGCTGTTCTTGTTGTTCTTGTTGTTCTTGTTGTTCTTGTTGTTCTTGTTGTTCTTGTTGTTCTTGTTCTTCTTGTTCTTCTTGTTCTTCTTGTTCTTCTTGTTCTCTTCTTGTTCTTCTTGT